TTGTCATGTGAAACTTGATTTATATTTCTATGAGTATTTATAGATGATTTTGTATGCAAAGAATGTTGATGGATTGATAAAATATTATTCATTAGATAAGATTTTTGAGGTATATATGAAATATTAATTATGTGTATCAAAACATAATATGCATGAAATATGATTGAACGAATCGAAGTAGTATTTTGGTAATTAGCATTATTAATTTGCTTTAACCTGATTTGATGATTAAATGGTGGTATTATTTTTTTTTTAAATAGTTATTTTATTTAAAAAATACTCCATAAAAACAAAAATACTTAATATTTGTTTGATTTTGGAATTTGAAATTAAACTTTTTATTTGAATTTTGATTTAAATAATATCAATTTTTATTTTACACACTTTTTAGACATCAAAAGATAAATTAAAGAATTTATAACCTCTCGATCATAAGTCTATCTGTACCGCTAGACTCTTTCAATCTTATTTTGTTAATTAAATGTGTTGTTTCATTGGGAATTACTTCTGTTAATGCATATATCATTTGGTTTATATGAATTGGTTCATACTTAAATAAAAATTTGTAGATTTATGTACTTATATTACATTGAGTTTCTTTTTTTTTTTTCTTTTTTAGTACCCTAATAAACACATGCTCCCTTTTGAGATGGAACATAATCTTAGACTTCGGAATGTCTCCCCAATTGATCTACAAAGATTTACTTATTTATATATATATATATATATAAAGTAATTTTTACACCAATGAATAAATTGGGGGTACATATAACAAATAAAAATTAAAAAAATTCCAAGGTTAACAATAAATATTTGTAATGTAATAGAAAGACATCAATAATCAATACATATTTAACACGGAAACTACTCAAACTAGGGTTACAGAAAAACACATCCAAATAAGAGAATGTTGTTTCTTACTTTATCAATAATATCCAGTCCTTGAAAATAAAAATGGCTTCTATACTTTAACATATATAAAAATGCTTCAAATTAAAAATATGAAAAAAAATATATTAATAATATAAACAAGCGACAATAACATGTGTGTGTTTATAATACACATACAGTAAATGAACATATAGCGCTAGTCTATATAATACAAACAAATACTGTGACAAGAAATATTTGTAGATGACTAAAAATTTGTATTATATTTATGATAAAAATAGGGACTATACATAGAAATTACATACACAAAATAATAACATCCTAATCTAATGGATAAAATCTAATAAATAATAAAAAAATATTTTCTCCGTCTATCAGTAAATTTTCTAATTTTCATTTTAGTTCGTTCAAATCAATTTATTTTATTTTATTTTATTTTATTTAAGAAATAACTCTCACTTAAATACCAAAATACATTTATTTTTTATTTTCCAAAGATAAAATGAACATTATATTATTTTATTACACTACATATCTATAAAATATTGATTTATCTCAATCCGCGTCCAAAAGTCAAACGAAAAATTTACTATCGGACCGAGGGAGACAGGGAGTATTAAACTTACTTTCTGTAGTTCCTAACAAGAATCAATGGATACCAATTTGAATCATGAAGGTGGGTGTAGGGATGTCAAATAGGGCGGGTTAGCCCCAACATGATTTTAATGGAACAGGTTCGGGTCTAAAGAATTTGGTTCGAGGAGGGTTGTAGTTTTTGAGTTTTAGACCCGAGCAGGTTACGGGTTTTACTAAAAATCTGCCCATCTCCGGATTGGATCCGAACCCGGATAATTTAATAATTATTATAATTTATTTATATTTTTATGCGATATAAATTATATTATGTATTTTTTTAAAAAAAATAAACATAAAATATAACTTTAATTCGAATTTGTTTATTCTACAATTCTCTTTATAATCGGGATTACTGTATTTTTTTTTAGTATTAAATTATTTTAAAAATTATATATATATATTTTTAAAAAAACAAGTTTATCGGATTGGCCCCGAACAACAGGTCCTCGGCCGGGTTGAAGCGGGGTGGGATGAGTCTTTGAGTCATAATATTTGCTAGCAGGGGGCGAAATCATTGCAATTTGTAATGACTTGAAATTAGATTTTTGTAGAATTTCGCATGTTCAATATATCTTTAGGTTTTTGTAGAATCTCGCATGTCCAATATATCTTTCGAGACACACTTGTATCTATCAAAAGTTTGTAAATTTTGAATTCAGATTGAGATTTCGTAAATATATATATACCGATAAATACAGTGAGGAAGATCACCACGTTGAAAATTGTGATAAGGATTTATAGTTAAGGTTTAATTGTCACGTGTGGTTAATTCGACGCTTCCTGGGTGGGTTTCTTTTGGGTTGGTTTGGAAAGATTTGGTTTGGATTGGAATTGAATTTGAAATTTTTGATAATTTTGGAAATTTGCTTTCTTTTGGCTTAGTAGATTTTGTTTAGGTTTGAAAATTTTTTATAGATAATGATTTGATAGGTAATTATTAATTTTATATAAATTTATAATTTAATTAAAAATAATATAATTTAAATAAAAGAGAAAAAATTAATAATGTTAATAAATTTAATAAATAGTTAAATTAAAAATTAAAAGTATTAATATATTGAATAATAATATAATTTGAATTAAATATAATTATAAAATAAAATTTATTTGAATTAGAAAATAAATATAAAAAATAATACTCCTATTATATTACTAATATTATTTTGATATACTATTAATAATTATTTAGTATTATTTTTTTGTAAATATATGATAATTTTTAATTATAATATACTCCCTCCGTTCCACCACAATTGACACTATTTTCATTTTCGTCTGTCTCGTAACAAATTGATATATTTCTATTTTTGGTAAAAATTATTAAATTTAAATATATTTAACAAATGTAAATCAACTTAATTAATTATATAACATATAATGACGTAGGATCCGTTCAAAACCTTTTTATTTCTATCTTTTTTAAAAAAATAAATATTTTTATCTATATTTGAAATTACACATTTTTGATAAAATTGATTTATGTTAATTATAAATAAACAAAAATATTTTTTTTTATTTAATTGTATTATAAAAAATTTTATTCTCTATAAAATAATATTCATATTACATATATTTTTTAATTGTTATATAATTTTTAAATATTTAAATATATATTTTGATTTTTTTAATTATATATTAAATTTATTTTTAGACTATAAATATTATTAATTATATAAAAAATAATATCATAACTAATTATTATTAATTAATTAAATATTTTTATCTTAAATACCGTGTCCCTTAATCAAATAATTTAATTTCGATTGGGGCGAAGGGAGTATTTATTTTAATTAAAAAATTTCCCCAGCACATCACAGCGCCGCCAGATTCTTCACCTCTCCCTCTCCATCTTCTTCACCCTTCCGTTCCGATTTTTCTTTTCTCCTTTTCTTTTTCTTCTTCAACTCCACCCAACTTCCTGCGCCACCGCAACGGTCTTCCTCTTCTCATCCCCTCTTCTTCTTCTTTTTCTTTTTTTTTCTTCTCTTAAATTTTTCTCAGAGAGCACGCTCCCTTCAAAATTACCCGAAAAAACTACCGGATCAAATCCAACCTTCGCCAAATCGCCGCCGCCCGGTGATTTTCGCCGCCACCTTTCAACCTTGCTACGCCGTCGGTTGTTCGAGAGAGGTTCTCCTTCAGCCTGTTCGACCGAGGGTGAGTTTGGGAGGTTGATTAGGTGATGATTGTAGTATGAGATTTACAACTCACAGGCTTTACTTTCAATTTAGAAAAAGTCATGGCTGCAGGTTCTGTCGATGTAGACTTTGGTCTCACGCCAAAATGTTGATCCACAGTGAAATCCATAGTAAATTTGGGAAACTAAGGGCCAAAGGAACTCACCACCAGAGAAGTTGCGTTCCTTGTTTAGTAGAATTTGTTTAGATATTGGGGTTTTGATAAATAATAATGTAATGGGTAATAATTAGTTTGACATAAATTTATAATTTAGTAAAAAATAATTTAAAATTAATAGAAAGAGAAAAAACTAATAATATGAATTTTTTTTTATAAATTTAATAAATAATTAAATTAAAAATTATTGATAATATAATTTAAATTAAATATAATTATAAAATAAAAATTACAAAAATTAAAATATGAATATACAAAAATTGTACTACTCTCTCCGTCTTATGTATTATGAGCCTATTATTGTAGATACTAGAATTTAGATAAAGTGTGATTAGTAAGTAATTAAGAAATGTATTAGTAAAAATAATTATCGTATAATAAAAATAATTGTGGATTAAGACTAAGATAACTAAATAATTTAATTAAGATTAAAAAAATTATAAAATTTAAAATTTAAAATGAGATTAGAGTGTATAATTATATTTCAAAAAAAAGGAATGGACAAATTATGTGGGACGGACGAAAATAGAAAATAGGGACAAATTATGTGGTACGGATGGAGTATTATATTAGTACTCCTTCCGTCCCACCGAAATTGAACCCTTTGATTAGTGATACGGTATTTAAGGTAATGATGTTTAATTAGTTAATAATAATTAATTATGATATTATTATATTATTTTTTTATAATTAATAATATTTATATTTTTAAAGTAAATTTAATATATATTATTAAAAAAATTAAAATATATATTTAAATATTTAAAAATTATATAGCAATTAAAAAATATATAGATATAATTTTTGAAAAATAAAAAGTTGTCAATTGTTACGGAACATACAAAAATAAAAATAGTGTCGATTGTAGTGGAACGAAAGGAGTATTATTCTAATATATTATTAATAAATATTTACTAATATTAGTATTATTTTTTTATAAATATATAATAATTTTTAATTATATTATTATTATTATTATAAAAATATTTATTTTATTTAAAACTTTGCCCTAACCGGTTTTCCATCTCCCTCTTCCTCACCCGTTCTGTTCTTTGATTTGTTTTTGTTTTTTTTGCACTTTTTCTTCTTCTTCGCCTCCACCCAAGTTCCTGCGCCCCCGCCCGGTGAAATATGCCGTTCAATAACAACAACTTGGCGCTGACCTTACGTCGTCCGTCGACGAGCAAGATTACCTGTGCTATCGGTAAGTTTGAGAAGAGGTTTTTGGTTAGAATTGGAATGGGGAGAGATGAACGAGAAGGGAGTAAAAGCAAGAGATAAAAGGTGAGTAAATTTTGTTTGGTAAGTGAAATGGGGAATGGAAAGAAAAGAGAGAGAACCTAGTAATATTAAGTGTCAGAGGCTGTTCTAGTAGCAATGGTTTCGGAGACTGAAGCCAAAGGAACACATACATAAAATAAATAAAATAATATTAAAAATCCAATTCCATATCTATTTTGAATATCTTCCGAATCACATCTTTGTAAGATTTAAATAAATAAAATATCTACAAACTCCCTTATATATATATAAGCCTCCATCCTTTATAATTTCTTTCATTCATTCTATTTCCAAACTTAATTAAGATCCTATTATACTTCTTCATTCCTTCTTTCTTTCTGAGGTCTCACAACAGCAACAATGGCTCGCCAGTACATTCCGAACGACATCGTTTTCGAAATTCTAACTCGTACTACATTGCGAACGTTAGATGTATGCAAGTGTGTCGCCAAGTCATGGAGCGAGGATATCATATCAGACCCGACTTTTCTTCCCAAGTATTGCGAAAGAACAAAAAATTTGTCAGGATTCTTTCTTCAAGACATTCGACGTTGGGGGTACATCTCCATGTTCGTATCCGTCGATGGATCGATATCTGATCGTATGGCTCACCTTCTCAATGGTACGAAGATATTGGCATCGTGCAATCAAGGGATTTTGTGTTGCGAGAAAATAATAAACTCACGATATTGTCGATATTATGTTGGGAAGCCGGCTACGGAACAATGGCTACCGTTGCCTAATCCTAAGCTTCGACGTCGGACCGAAGGAGTTGCCATAAGGGTTTTCGAGTCTAATCCTTTACGGTTCAAGATTATTCGAATTTCGAACAAAGGGTTTCTGAAGTAAGTTTTTTGTTTTTGTTTTTATTGTTTTTACCATGTTGTTTAACTTGAAATTAGGCTTGGAATTTGAATTGTTGATATATTTTAGATATTGTTTATCAAAATTTCCAAAAATATATATAAACACATAATTAAATTGATGTTGAGATATTTATCGGAGACGATGACGAAGCATGCAGGGGAATATATGAATTTTGCTAGTTTAATTTGTTTGTTTGTTTTTTTTTTTAAAATTGCTCTTGAATGTGAGTTTTTGGGAGTTTGGATTGTGGATAATAAAATTTTAAATTTATATTATTGTTTAATTTAATGTTTCTTTTGGACTTTGAATTTTGGTTTGAGATTGAATAGTAAAAATTTGAATTGGTATGTAATATAAATAAGTATTGATGTAATTTTTTAATATAATATAAAAAATAAAAAAATAAGTATATTTTTGAGAAAAAATAAAAATAAAAATAGTGTTAATTTATCAAAATGCTTCAAACAAACCCACCTTAAAAAAACACAATAGGGTTGTTGCAGTTTTGCTCTCTCCCGCCCTCCCTTAAATTGATTAAAGTGGAATTCGTTTGGTTTTGTATTTATTTAATTTTTTGTATTTGTTTTCGAATATAAAACTTATGGTATTTATACTGCAGCACAAATTTTATATTGAAATAATTTGTATTCTTTTAATATTTTAGTAATAATTAATTTTTTGTTGAATATATTATAATTTATTATAATATATATATATTTTTTTCAGGTCCTCAGATTATTACGAATACTATTGTGAGATATTCGATTCAAAGATATGGAGATGGCGGGAAACTCAAACCCTACTTCTACCATTTGGAGAATACATAATGTCTTGGGTGTCATCGATCTTTGTCCAAAGTTCGTTTCATTGGCTGACTACAAGTAATAACATTGTCATCTTCTATGAGCCAGATGAAAGTTTTCGTACATTTTCTTTACCCGAGCTCATGTTGAATGAGAATGATTGTAAGTACAATCACAAGCAACTCGTCGACTATCAAGGAAGACTTGGATTGAGTTGCATGATCGAAGAAAGTAAAATTGAATTATGGCTATTAGAGGCCTCGAATGAAATTGAGTTTGGATGGAAAAAGCACATGGTTGTGGATATCGGACCTATTAAGGAGAAGGCGATGTACCCGAGCCCAGCCGGTTTTTATAACTCAGGAACTATATTATTGCAAGCGTGCGATGAACTATTGATCTATAAAATTAATGACGATAGTGTTGATAATGTGAAGTTGAAAAATGCGATGAGAAGTAGCGGATACGATATTTTTCCATTTAGATCTGATTTCGAGATTGTGAATTTTCGAACATAATAGTTTGTTAAGAATTATATTCAATTTACAATTATTTTTTGGGTATATGCTTGAATTTAAATATAATTTTGATGTAAGATTTTACGAACTTTTTTTAAATTCATTTTGACAAATCGATGCTATTTATATTTGAAATACTACCTACTTTTTTTTGTCAATTGATACACATTTTTTTTACACGAAATTTAAATATTACTGTTATGGAGCAGTAATTATACAAAATAATAATTAAATATTTTTTATTTTTTTATTTTGATAACATGGAAACTCACAACCATTACCCGAAAGTGCGCATAATAAACCCAACGTTTATGAATGTGTTTAATGGAGAGCATGTATAATAAAAATAAAAATAAAAACAAAAAAAGAAATATTATTAAAAAATAGAACCATAACATTTAGGCGAAACATTCTTCAATATGAATATTTACGGCGTAAATTCAAATTATTACATCAAATAATCAGCAAGCCGGCCCGGGAAGCCGGCACTTCTGAAAGAGTTGCTTGGTGAGTTTTGGGTCAATCGGGAGCTGCGGCGGCGACGGATAGTTCAAAGACTTGCAGAAACACTTCAGATCGGTGCCGGAAAGATTCTTGCAGCACTCCGGCGATGGTGGCGGCGGATTTGGACCCTTCGCCGCCTGCAGACATTTCAGAAGTTCATTTAGATCCAGATTGCAAAGCTTTACCTGTTTTCCGGCCGGTGCCGCTGCCACCGCCGTAAGGATCACCAGAATCGCCGCCGTCGCGACCACAATCTTCAGCCGTGGATCCATTTTTAAGTATTTTCTTGATTGTTGTATAGTTATATTAGAAGTTTTTTTGTTATGTGAAACTTGATTTTATATTTCTATGAGTATTTATAGATGATTTTGTATGCAAAGACTGTTGATGGATTAAGGAAATATTATTCATGAAATAATATTTTTGAGGTATATATGAAACATTGTGTGTATCGAAACATAATATGCATGAAATATGATTGAACGAATCGGGGTAGTATTTTGGTAATTAGCATTATTGATTTGCTTTAACCTGATATGATAATTAAATGGTGGTATTAATTTTTTAAATAATTATTTTATTTAAAAAATAAAAAAAAAAATACTTAAGATTTGTTTGATTTTGGAATTTGAAATTAAATAATATTAATTTTTATTTGACACGCTCTTTAGACATAAAAAGATAAATTAAACAACTCATAACCTTATTAAATTAAATTTGTTGATTCTCCTCAATGCAATTTGTTGTTTCATTTGGGAATTATTTCTCTTAATGCATATATCATTTAGTTTATATGAGTTGGTTCATACTCAAATAAAAACTTGTAGATTTATGTAGCATATTACATTTAGTTTCTTTCTTTCTTTCTTTATATTACCCTAATAAACACATGCACCCATTTGAAATGGAATCCGAATCATAGGCTCCAAGCGGAATGTCTCCCAATTAATCTACAAAGATTTACTTGTATATACAAAGTAATTTTACACCAATGCATAAGTTGAGGGTACATATAACAAATAAAAATAAAAAAGTTCCAAGATTAACAAATATTTTTAATACCAAGACATAAGAGAATCAATACATATTTAACATGGAAACTACTCAAACTAAGGTTACAGAGAAAAACACATGTCCAAATAAGAGGATGTTGTTTCTTACTTCATCAATATTATCCAGATCTTGAATAGAAAAATGGCTTCTTCTGGTGGAAACAAAATGACATGGGCTTTCTTATTGGCCCATATAAAGGGATTTACCAAGAAAAACAGAAGAACCTAATCTAGCAAATAAAATATTCACAAAAATCTCTCCCCTAATTCCATTGGACCCATAAGAATATTCAAGCATCTTTTCAAATAGGAGCAGCAAGCAAGCTGTTCTTTGTCAACATAATAATTAAAATAATACTTATTGCACCCATCAACATCAACAACCTATATTTACCTTTCTTTAATCATTTACCTAATTTAAAAGCCTCAAAAGTCATCGGAATTGCCCCACCTATAGGTTTGGTACTCCCCCACACACCACAAAGAATTTGGGATAATTCCTAACACAACTAAAACCAGCACTTAGCACTAACTGTTAAGCAAATAGGCATGTGTTTATTTATAAGGTTTGTCTAGGCACACTTCAATCCTAAGAAAGATATAAATAAGAGTGGATATATATACAAGGGAGGCAAAGCTATATAAGCAATCTAATTAATTAAGGTGGAAGGAAAATGAACAAAGATACCTTATTCATTTGCTGGATTTTGTACAATCATGATGTCCTTTGCAGACATGCGTTTCAAGAACTCATATGTTGTGATCATTGTGGTTGCAGACATGGACATGGATGCCCATCTAGGACCCCATCCTCTGTAACAAGCTATCCACCCACCCTCCCTCACTAAATTCCTCACTGTCTGCACCAGAGTTGGCCCTTTCCTGCCATTTTCGTCGCTGTCCAAGACCTGCAACCTAGTCTTGATTGTGTCCAAAGGCATTGTCACCAAAGCTGTAAACCCTCCAGCCATGGCTGCACTCAGCCCTTGAACTGCCATCAAAGTTTTGGTATCTGGCCTCAGCCTATCATTCATAGTCATACCACTAATGTTAGTGACTCCACTTTCATGTCTTTCCTCTTCTTTTTTGTTAAGGAAATGCCCCACCCCACCCCAAGCCACCCTCTGCATCACAGAATAAGATGCCCACCAAATGGCATTAGATGGTGCATAGGTGAGGATAGATATCCCAAATCCTCTATACAACCCCCTTATCCCATCTGTGTTCAGAATCTTCCTGAATGCATCAATGCCGTCTTTATATTTACATGGCAATGCATTCAGAGCATTCTTGATTCCACCACTGCCCGCCGCCTCGCAGCCACTTCCTTGTGCCATTAGCCTCTGGCTGATTACATCCACCGGTGTCCAAACCACTTGTGCTGCCATGGCAGCACTCAATCCAGCCACAGCATTGGCCACAGCCGTCGCAGTAGGCTCGTGAAACCCCACCCTTGTGGCGGCGTATCCCACATTAGACTTGGTAACCTCAAGTGCAGTCATATACAAAGCTCTGGCTGGGATAGTGCCTGTCACTGAGGTTCCAAATCCTCTATACAATCCACGAATTCCTTCGTGTCTAATGATCAAAATTGCGGTTCTCATGCCCGAAACGTGGGATTGTGCAACCTGCTGCCGAGTTTTTAACACAACAGCAGGGTATAGCACGGCTGAAACGCCAGAAAACAAAGCTGCTCCAAGGAAGAAAAACTTTGACTTGTCAAGCATTTTCCACTCTATATCTGCAGGCAAATGAGCTTCTTCTGCTGTAGATTCTTCCTCGGCAGTTCTTAAATCCATTTTTTCCTCTTCTTCCACAACTTTATATTAGGAATATTGATCCAAAGCCCTAACCTACTCACATTTGTACACTAATTCCACCATGATGAACACATAACATCTGTTACCCAATCATTTCCTCGTATTCCATTACGAAGAAACCTGATTCTTCCACTCACCTACAATCTATACAAATCTGAAACTGCATATAATAAAACCTCACTCTATCGGAAAACGGAAAAGGAATAACAAGTGGCAGATTGCTCCCAGGGGAAAAGGAATAACAAAAACGAAAACATAACCACAATTATTGACCTTCAATACATTTATTTGGTACGTATTACAACAATAAACCAACGAATTGCATTTATTGATCTATTCCCCAGTCAATCGTAGTACGTATATCATATGCTTGCAGAACCATGATCCAGATACGCAGCAAACAACAGGCAACGAAATTTAGCATTCCTCGTAATCCCTTACCAATCGCTATCCGTTGGCGATGCGGAAAGCTGCCCGTAATTTCGGATCTCGCCGGAAAAACCTCCTCTTCTCGATATGGAATGGAAGGAGGTTTTGTATAGACACATATGCATCTCATATATACATATATATATATATACCGACAAATAATAGGAAGGTCAAGAAGTACGGACCAGCTGGTGAAATTAACATTTATGCATTCTGTAACTGTATTATAAAAATAAAAAATAAAAAACTGAAGGTATAAATATAAATTAATTAATTTATTAATCATTTTTATATTCGAATTACAGTGAAAGCTGGCGAGGTTGTTGTGTGGGCCCCCTTTTAAAATGTTTATTTCCAAATTTAGCCCGGGGATATTCATGTATGACGTGTCAAATCTTATCCGAATTACTACTCGCTAGAGTCTGACTGTTTAAATAATAATAGTTTAAAAAATAAATAAAACTAAACCAAAAAATTTAAAAAATAAAAATTGAAGGAACATTGGTGAGAACGAAATTAAGTTTTCTGGGCCCCAGGCCCAAACCGATCCAGCCCAATTTAAGGTGGCCTAGAATTGATCCATTTTTTATGACTTCCTCTTGCCCTATATGTTTCGAGTCTTGAAAAAATTAATTATATTTTCAGTCGAAAATAAAATAAAATAAAAAATTTTACTTACATTAACGAATTGTCATATTTGCAATTTCTGCCGCAGAAAAAAAATGCCATACATTGGCAACTTCTGACTTCTAATTGTTCTATTAACATAAATAATTATATCCCTAAAACAAAAATTACTTTTGCGTTTAAAATCAATAAAATATTAATATTTATTAAATTATGTTTAAAAAAAATATAGTATTGGGACAGAGATAGGATTAAAGAAGCATTTCTGGTAAATTATGTGAAAAAAACAAAAAAGTTAATACAAAAATAACTACTAATAGACACTTCACCCGTCCACCGGCACCCCTAATCGCCATTACCGCAGCCATCGAAACCCTTCACTCAACCAAACCCTAGCTGCAATGGCGGCTTCTTCCATCTTCAAATCCTCCTTCCTATCCGCCCAATCCCTCCCACAAACCGCCGCCGCCGCCTCACCGACTCGCCACCCTACCTCAATCTCCATCCGCGCCACCACAACCTCCTCGGATTCGCCCGCCCCGACCCCGCAAATCAAGCACCGCCGCCCCGCCGATGAGAACATCCGCGAAGAGGCGCGCCGTCATGCCTCGTCCCACAATTTCTCCGCCCGCTACGTCCCCTTCAACGCCGAGCCGTCCTCCACCGAATCCTACTCCCTCGACGAGATCGTGTACCGCAGCCGCTCCGGCGGCCTCCTCGACGTCGAGCACGACATGGACGCGCTGAAGAAATTCGACGGCGATTACTGGCGCGCTCTGTTCGATTCCCGCGTCGGCAAGACGACGTGGCCGTACGGCTCCGGCGTCTGGTCGAAGAAGGAGTGGGTCCTGCCGGAGATCGACAGCGACGACATCGTCAGCGCCTTCGAGGGAAATTCCAACCTCTTCTGGGCGGAGCGCTTCGGCAAGCAGTTCCTCGGCATGAACGACCTCTGGGTGAAGCACTGCGGGATTAGCCACACAGGCAGTTTCAAGGATTTAGGAATGACCGTTTTGGTCAGCCAGGTCAATCGCCTCCGCAAAATGAATCGCCCCGTCGTCGGCGTCGGCTGCGCCTCCACCGGAGATACCTCCGCCGCCCTCTCCGCTTACTGCGCAGCTGCTGGAATCCCATCCATTGTCTTCCTCCCCGCCAATCGCATCTCCATAGCTCAATTGGTTCAGCCAATTGCCAACAGTGCTTTCGTTTTAAGCATTGATACTGATTTTGACGGCTGTATGCAGCTGATTCGAGAGGTTACTGCAGAGCTGCCGATATATCTGGCGAATTCGCTGAACAGCCTGAGATTGGAGGGCCAAAAGACGGCTGCAATAGAGATACTTCAGCAGTTCGATTGGGAGGTGCCGGATTGGGTGATTGTACCCGGCGGCAATCTAGGGAACATATATGCCTTCTACAAAGGGTTCCGAATGTGTAAAGAATTGGGGCTTGTCGACAGGATTCCAAGGCTCGTCTGCGCTCAGGCTGCGAATGCGAATCCTCTGTATCTGCATTACAAGTCAGGATGGAAGGATTTCAAGCCAGTGAAGGCCGGGACGACATTTGCGTCTGCAATACAGATTGGGGATCCTGTTTCCATCGACAGGGCAGTGTATGCGCTCAAGAATTCGAATGGGATCGTTGAGGAGGCGACAGAGCAGGAATTGATGGATGCCATGGCTCAGGCTGATTCAACAGGGATGTTCATCTGCCCGCATACGGGTGTGGCGTTGTCGGCATTGTTTAAGTTGAGGAGTAACGGGACTATTAGGGCAACGGACCGCACTGTTGTTGTGAGTACTGCTCACGGGCTCAAGTTTACGCAGTCAAAGATTGATTATCACTCCCAGAATATTAAGGATATGAATTGTCGGTATGCAAACCCTCCGGTGCAAGTCAAGGCTGATTTCGGCTCGGTTATGGATGTTCTCAAGAAATATTTGCTGAGCAAGGATTCCAAAATGCTTTGAGAGGGTAATAAGCTTTAGTTTTTTGGCTATGAATTTTCACGACTTTATAAAACAATGCTGGTTAGCTTTTTCCGGGACTCTATTGTTGTGTTTTGAGTTTAATATTCATGGGTGTAGTGAGAATGGTGTATGCTTATGTACACTTTGTCTGCAATTAGACACAATTTGGTTTCAATAAAATTTATGCAGGGCTTATCACTAAATCTAGTGGTTCTCGATTATATTCTTGGTGAGGATGTGGAACATGCATGGAAAATTTAAGTGTATCGATAACATTAAATGGGTTCTTGATTTTGTGAGATTTGTCATGCTTAGTGTTCATATGCAATTGTGCAAACGAACACCGATTTCTTAGATTATCTCAGAGCTGTTCTTGTGATTGTTTTAGGCACTTAGTACTATTTTTTGGCCATTTTTGAACTTTTAGGAATTATATTTATGTCTACGGGCGCAGACGGACTCTCGTCATCGCGAGAAGTCCAACAAACGTTATCGTTTATGGAAAAGAGAACTTGTAACAAGGATTCTGTAGGTGAATCTGCGAAAGGATCGTTTTTTATGTCTGCCCCGGCAGACAGCAGCGAACTCGTGACCCGAGGTACGAATGCCGCACAGCCGTCCATCGAGACAGAGTGGGTGTCCCAAAAAACTCCTGCACGGATTTTCGTGAGTACGTAGGAATCAAAAAGAGATTTCCTGCGATGCACGTCGTGGCAAAAAATCGCGAACGACGACCTTGTCCACCGTTCACGGTCCCGTCGTCCAGCCGTACATTGTAAACGAGGATTCGCGCACGAGAGCCGATGGACCCGCGTCATCGCGAGAAGTCCAACAAGCGTTATCATTTATGGAAAAGAGAACTCGTAACAAAGATTCTATAGGTGAACCTACGAAAGGATCATTTTCGATGTCTGTCCCGGCAGACAGCAGCGAACTCGTGACCTGAATGTCGCACAATCGTCTATCGAGACAGAGTGGGCGTCCTAAAAAACTCCTGCACGGATTTTCGTGAGTATTTAGGCATAAAAAAGAGATTTCCTGCGATGCACGTCGCGGCCAAAAGTCGCGAACGAAGACCTTGTCTGCTATTCACGGTCCCATCGTCCAGCCGTATATTGCGAACGAGTGTTCGCGCACGGGCGCCGACGGACCCGCGTCATCGCGAGAAGTCCAACAAGCGTTATCGTTTATAGAAAAGAGAACTCGTAATAATGATTTTACAGGTGAACCTGTGAAAGGATCATTGTCGATGTCTGCATCGGCAGACAGCAGCGAACTCGTGACCCGACGTACGAATGCCTCACAGCCGTCCATCGAGACAGAGTGGGCGTCCCAGAAAAACCTGCACGGATTTTCGTGAGTATTTAGGCATCAAAAAAAGATTTTCTGCAATGCACGTCGCGGCCAAAAATTGCGAACGACGACCTTGTTCGCCGTTCACAGTCCCGTCGTTCAGCCGAACATTACGAACGAGGATTCACGCACGGGCGCCGACGGACCCGCGTCATCACGAAAAGTCCACCAAGCATTACTGTTTAGAGAAAAGAGAACTCGTAACAATGATTCTATAGGTGAACTTGCGAAAGAATTATTGTCGATGTCTGCCCTGGCAGACAGCAGCGAACTCGTGACCCGAGGTACGAATGCCGCACAGCCGTCCATCGAGACAGAGTGGGCGTCCCAAAAAACTCCTGCACGAATTTTCGTGAGTATTTAGGAATAAAAATGGATTTCCTGCGATGCAAGTCACGGCAAAAAATAGCGAACGACGACCTTTTCTGACTTTCACAGTCCCGTCGTCCAGCCGTATATTGCGAACGAGGATTCGCGCACGGGCGTCGACGGACCCGCGTCATTGCGAGAAGTCCCACAAGCGTTTTCGTTTAGAGAAAAGAGAACTCGCAGGTTCACCTATAGAATCTTTGTTACGAGTTCTTCTTTCTCTAAACGATAACGTTTGTTGGACTTCTCGCGATGACGTGGGTCCATCAGCGCCCGTGCGCGAATCCTCGTTCGCAATATACGGCTTAATGACGGGACCGTGAAAGGCGGACAAGGTCGTCGTTCGCGATTTTTTGCCGCGACGTGCATCGCAGGAAATCCATTTTTTATGCCAAAATACTCACGAAAATCTGTGTAGGAGTTTTTTGGAACGCCCACTCTGTCTCGATGGACGGCTGTGCGGCATTCGTACGTCGGGTCACGAGTTTGCTGTTGTCTGCCGGGACAGATATTGACAATTATCCTTTCGCAGGTTCACCTATAGAATCCTTGTTACGAGTTCTCTTTTCTATAACGCTTGTCGAACTTCTCGCGATGACGCGGGTCATTATTCAAAAACCTCAAAGTGGCCGGCATTTTTAGCCTGATACTGTTTGAAGGGACCCTATTTAGGACATTATTCAAAATCCTCGAAGTGGCCGGCATTTTTAACATTAGGCTATGAGAAGGTCTTTGATTGGAGATGTTTTTACAAGAACCTCGAACTAACGTGCATTTTGAACCTTAGGCTATCGCGAAGGTCTTTAGTTAGTGATGTTTTTTCAAGAAATTCGAACTATAGCGCATCTTGAGCTTTATAAGAGACATGTCTCAAGAACCGTGAAGTGACCGAGCATTTTTAATGTTAGGCTACCGTAAGGGTCTTCTATTAGAGTTCTTCAAGAATGCGACATTTTAACGTTTAGACACCCTAAGGGGACCTTAGTTAAGAGACGTGCTTAAGACACAAAACACATGCCTAATACATGACACTGCAGTTTGAACCCAACAAGGCAGCCCAAACCTTAAAGAAACCAAAACACCACCAGACAATTCTATAAATTCTCGAGACACACCGGCACAAATATCGCCACAAAAATTGCACCATGGAGTCGTATTATTACCGTATTCTTGCATCTGCCATAGCCGTCTTGGTCGTTCTCGGGGCAGCCGGGAAGGTCCATTCTGTGTGCAACGTGTCTCTCGAAGATCTCGAGAAGTGCCTTCCAGCAGCCCACCCGCCAAATCCGCCGCCCCCAACTCCCGACTGCTGCAACACGCTCGCCCGGGCCAACCTTCCCTGCCTCTGCGGCTACAAGAACGACCCGGTCTTGCCGGCCGTCGGTGTCGATCCGAATCTCGCCTTGCAGCTCCCTGGGAAGTGCAATCTCCCAACACCACAGTGTTAGAACATCATCGTCGACATCCTTAGCGTATGATGTTGTTACAGATTGTGTTGATGTTGTGATTTGTTTGTGTTTGTTTGTTGCATCTAAGTATGGAATAAGTTTGTGTGTCGTGAAATGGATGCTGTTTGTAAAATGGCTGTGATTGGTAATGGTGTCTGTGTAAGTGTCTATATGTGGAATAATTGTAATTAGGGATGTGTTGTTTTAGCAATAAAACCAGATTAAGGTTGTACACTTATGATGTTCTTGACATCAGAATACTGTTTTAATCTTGTTAGTATTTTTTTTTTTTAAAAAAATTATAATTGCTTTAAAATGTTTCTAACAATTATATATATAATGGTTTATATTTGTTGTCCATCACTGTTCCTCATCGGATCATCTGTAAACAACATCAACCAAAATTCAAAAACAAATACAATTCACTCTCAACATCAACATTTTAAATATAATTTCTAAAAATAAAATAAAATAAAATACAAATTATTAAAAAAATACTTAAATAAATTGTCAAAAAAGTAAATAATAAAAACATCTACTTCATCACAGCACAACTCACCTGAAATAATATATAGTTTTCTTGATAATATTAATATTTTTTATATAGGAGATAGATAAAATATTTAGATAATATTTTTGATGTCTAAAATATTGTGTATCAAAGCACGACACACATGAAATAATATACACTCCCTCAACAAAAATTAAAAACACTTGGGTTCGACAAAATATTTTATTAAAAAAAGGAGCAAAAAATCAATTTTAGTATCATTCAATACTATAATTATTAATTTTGGTTAAATTAAAATATTTTTATTAATTTTGGTCCCACCAAATGAAACTTTATTAAGGGGTTGAATACGGCCGCGTTAAATGACTCAAAATGGTGACTGGGCTCTCCAGACAACCAACACGGCTGTGTTGATAACACAGCACTGAACATGGTCGTGTTCATGTCCTTGTTCACGGCCGTGTTCTGAACACGGCTGTGTTCCTGCTCTAATATTATTTTTTTATAATCTTTTTTACAATTATTTCATAATATAAAAATTTTAATTTTTAATATTTTAAAAAATAATTACAAAAAATATTTTTGTTGAATTATTAATATATATCAAATAATTTTAACAAAAAAGTGAAAATAATACTAATAAATATAAATATGACATACAATATGACTATGTTGAAAACATGGTTGATATATGACTTAGAACATGATTGTGTTGAAAAAGGACGGTGAACATAGCCTACAACATGTTGTATTGAGAACAGGGTCATGAATATTGGCAGGAACATGGTTGCATTCAGAATACGGGCATGAACACAGCCGTGCTCAGAACATGGCCGTGAACAGGGACAAGAACATAGTCATGTTTAGTGTTGCGTCATCAACACGGCAGTGTTGGTGTCTGGGGCGTCCAGTCATAATTCTAAGTTATTCAATACATTAACACGGCCGTATTCAGTCTCAATCAACGATTATGAAACTAAAATTGATAAAATTTTATTTGAATGAAATCAAAATTGATAAAAAAAAAATAAAAAAAAATCATGATAATTACAGTATTGAATGGTACCAAAATTGTTTTTTGTTATTTTTTAATAAAATATTTATTTTTTTAAATTTTCATGTCGAACTCAAATGTTCTTAATTTTTGCCGAAGGTATATATATTGTTTCAAGTGTGTTATACACATATTATTTTAGACATAAAAAATATTATCTAAATATTTAATATATCTCCTATTATAAAATATTAATATTATCATAAAAAATATTTCACCGTCACACCAATATTATTATACATACATACTTCGCATGTAAAATCATCTATAAATACGCATAAAAATGCAACAAGCAGCCACCACCGCGACAGACGAAAATCATCTATACTGCTTGTGCTCTTACGGTGGTGGCTGCCACGGCGGCAGACGAAAATCAGTTAAAGATCTGCGGTGTAACTCCAACTCAACTTATGACATGTCTGCCGGCGGCGAAAGGTCCAAATCCGCCGCCGCCGTCGCCAGAGTGCTGCAAGACGCTCTCCGGCACCGACCTAAAGTGCTTTTGCAAGTATTTGAAAAGTCCGGTGCCACCTCAGCTCGGCGTCGACCCTAACCTCGCCAAGCAACTCCCTCAAAAGTGCAAGCTTGCCGCGCTGGTGTGCTGATTAATTTGATGTAATAATGCAAAATCGCCGTGCAACGGCATAAATATTTAATATTTTGGTTTCAAAGAATTATTCATCGAAATGTTATACGATCCTATTGCTTTTTTGTTTCTAAAATATTTATTGAGTGCCATTGGACTTATATTTTATATAGTTGAAGAATATTTTAAATTTGAGCACCAATAATATATGTTATTGGGCACAGATGCTGATTTGACCGGATCAGTATATATCATGATGGTAAACAATATTTTTTATACATATTACAATATATTTATAATACAACATATGTTATAACATATAATATTTTAAAATATAACATATATTTATATTATGTAAAAATTAATATTTTTTACCTTAATAATACATACTGATTCAGTCAAATTAACAAGCTATCCACACTCATATTTATCATTCAACTTGTTTAGCTTAATGGATAATTTTTATCAAGTATATATATATAGAAATGATAAAAATATTATCAAAACATAATTCACCATTGTATCATATACATATGTAATTAGTTGTTGGTTTGAATTAAGTTAATGTTGTGCTCTTAATATTTTCTCATTTTAGAAAGAAATTTAAAATTTCTTTTAAGATAAAACTCACTTAAAATTTTCAATTTATACGTCTCTAGTGTATGTATATATATATATATATTAACTTGAACTTGTGTAATACACAGGATTATTGAATAATTTATTTATTATATTTTTATCATTTATACTGATATGCTAATAAATATACATTAAAAATATAATTTTGAATACATTGTTTTTTTATAATGTGAAATTAACGTCGGTTACTTTCAGAGTGCATTTTCTATAAAAATTATTAAAATAATTACTTTATTACTTTTTAAATATTTTATGAGAAATATATATATTTTTATTATAAATTGTATACATTAAAAATTATAAAAATTAAAATCAAATACCTTTACGGTATTTATAAAAACTGTTTCTTTTTTTTTTTCGAAAGATATTGTCATAAATGTATTTTTTAATTTAATACATTTTATTAATTTAATTTAAAATATTGTATAAATATTTATTTATAGTATATCAAATCATTGTTTGTGGAGTTTTAAGTTAGATTTTAATATTTTAAATTTTTTTTCTCCCATAAATATCAAATTCAACACTTATATTTCATTTATTATATAATATTAAAATTTAATTTTACATTAAAATATTAAATCAACTCATACAATTTTTAATAAACATACAATATTTTTTACAAAATATTATATCAAAATACTATTTAAATCAATACTCAAACTAAAACTATACGTACAAAAATACATACTCCATACGTCAAGCTAAAGAGTTACATTTGTTTATATGTTGATCTTTAAATATTAATTATTATATAAAATAGAGTACAGATCAAGAAAGAAAAGATAAAAATACTTTTATTAGTGTCTTATAATACAAATATAATAAAATTTTGTAAAAAAAATAAAATTATACAACTATAAAGATATTTTTAATATTAAGTAGAATAACGCAAAAATGAAATGCTACCTCTGTCCCATAAGAAGAGTACATGAGTTTTTCTGCATGTTGATCTTTAAATATTAATAATTATATCAATATGTAGTCCAAATAAAGCAAATGACAAAAATACCTCTATTAGTTTCTTATAATACACAAATACAATGATATCTGAGAAGTAAATTATACAAATATAAGAATATTTTCAACGTTAAATACAATGACGTAAAAGACAAATGTTGTTCTTTTTATGGGATAGAGGTAGTATAACTCTTTGAACCAAAAAATACATTTATTTATTTGTAATTAACATAAACTAATTTTGTAAAAGACATGGAGTTTTAAATGGAGATAAAAATATTTACTATTTTAGAAGAAATGTAAAGATAAAAAAGTTTAAATGAGTAATACATATAGGTGTATTTGTTTGGGGGATTGGATTTAATTTTCACTATTCATTCCATTTTTTTCCTCAAAAATATCAAATCGAACACTTATTTTTCATTTTTAATATTATACTAAAAATCAATTTTACATTCAAAATATCGCATCAACACCTATTTATATCATATCATACAACTATTCAAATTTAAAATTTTTATTATTCAAATCTCAATCCAAAATCCAAATTCCCAAACAAACGCACGTAAATTATCCCAACTAAAACTCTATGAATTGTCACATGAGACACAAATTAAAAATGTCAACTATTGAGTGAGTGATGAAGTATTTATTTGTATTATATATAATTTTATTATTTATATACCAAAAAACATATCTATTCAATATCACTTTTAAAATATTATGCGTGGGTGGTCTCAAATCAAAATCTAACACCTTTTAGTCATCACAATTTTTAATAAAAAATATATATATATTTTTTTCAATAGTAAAATATATTATTCACTCTCTTCTATAAACAGAATACTATTTTTCAATTTTGTCCACCTAAAAAAAAGATACAATTTTTTTATTATCTACTAACATAATTACTATTTACAACTTTCAATATATTACGCAAATGTCATTATTTTTTAATCACACAATCTAATAAGGACATTTTTGTCTTTTTTACTATAAATAAATATAATACTAATATTAAAAAATATACATGCAAAAAACAAATATTACTCTTTTTGCGGGACGAAATAGTATTATATTTTTATTTTAAATTGTTCAATTACAAAATATTTATTTATTTTTAATAATTATGAATCCACTTTTTTTTTATATATAAATATACATTTTTTACAATCACATAATTACTTTTACACTTAAAAAAAATAAAAATAAAAATATATTTACTCTATTTTCATAAAAATAAATATATACTTTTAAACAAAGAAAGAAAAGTATTATTAATTTTTTTTTATAAAACATTACTATTATCTCTTTTAGGTAAATGGTCTTATCAAATCTAATCCCCATATCCTACAATTTTTATTTCTGTAAGATTCTTGGTCACAAATATAGAATAGGATAACATCATTCATAAATATTTTTCGCCTCTAAATCCTCTATATATACCCCAGAAATGCAATCAAGCTTCATATAACAATTTCATTCGATTAACAATCGAAGAACATACAGCACTTGAAAATGGAGTCACGTTTCAACATTGCAGTCGCAACGGCGTCGTTTTTAATAATTCTTGCTGCAGCAACAATTAGTGCAGACGAAAATCAGTCGGCGATCTGCAATGCGCCTGTGGCTCAGCTTCTTACATGTGCGCCGGCGGTGACAAAAGGTCCGAATCCGCCAATGCCGTCGCCGGACTGCTGCAAGGCGCTCTCCGTCGCCGATCTCAAGTGCATTTGCAAGTACTTGAACGATCCTCGTTTGCCGCCTCAGATCGACCGCGGCCTCGCCAAGCAAGTCCCCGGAAAGTGCAAGCTCACGATGCCGCCGTGCTGATTTGATGTGATAGAAATAATGTTGTCGCTGGCGGTGCCAAGCATTTATATTTAATCATAGAATTAGTCACTACTAGTCATTGAAATGTGATATGGTAATTTGTCATTTTCAATAATAAATATATTTTCTCGTAATTAAATTTATGTAACTGTGAAGCTATGGGTTCAACCTCCAGTGTCTTTTGAAATTGAAAAAAACTACGGGAGAGAAGGGCTATTGGACAGCTTGAAAGAGCCCATGCTTGCTTATAAAAAGCGGAAATGAAAGTAGATTAGTTTCGAATAAATTGATACTATGAGATAGAGCGAGAAAAATTGAATTGATTAATTCAATTTATAAAACTTTGAAACAATTATAAAATTACAAGATGAAACAATCAAGTTTTGACAACGGATTTTTCAATAAATCTTACAAGGAGCTCTTGAAACTCTGAATAGTTGTTTGAAGAATGAGTTACATTTACCTACCATTAGTACAATATTGAAATGTTGGGAGGGATGAAAGAAATAACTTATTAGTCTATGTAGCATGTGATCTTATTTTTTTTGTCTTTTTGAAAAAGAATTAAGAAATATTCATGGTAATTATTCAAACTGACGAAATTAGTAATATTATTCGTGAACGTATTGAACAATATAACAGAGAAGTCAAAATTGTAAATACAGGTACCGAACTTCAAGTGTGCAATTGGTATTGCTCTTATTCATGGTCTCGATGAAGTAATGACAGATGAATTAGTTGAATTTGAAGAAGGTACAATAGGTATTGCTCTGAATTTAAAATCAAGATTTTGTGCGTGAGATGTGACTTCTCTTGTTAGACTTAATTTGCAAGATTCGGCCGAAAGTTTACCTAAAGCCCACTTGAAGAACTGCGATTGCGAATTTCTACATTATAAAAAATTAATAATAAACACAACGGTTGTCTTCTCCTATGTCATTCAAACAATAATTGTCGGGTCGAAGTGAATGCTTCTACACAACAAAAATTCACCGAAAATCTTGCTAACGTTCAGGCGATGTTAGACAGATAACATAACATCAGATCATACTGTTGTTATTATTATCTTCTTACTCTTCACCTTTTTATGTCACCATATGTAAAGAAACACAAGCCAGTTATATATAAATAGGCTGCTGCGCCGCGGATAGATAAGCCAATGCCGTCCATATTCGAAAAAAAAAGAACAAACTCAAGTCCCACAAAGTCTATCTCTGAAGAAATGGCGATGCTAACGCATTCTTTATCACACTCGTAAGGATGCTAACGCATTCTTTATCACACTCGTAAGGATTAAGACAACAACGCGATAGTATGTTCGTGAATCCAGAAAGAAACACCAAAAATTCTTTCTTGCAACATTGTGATTTGTGAATCAAATAAGCAATGAGTTAAGAAATAGATGTCTAAAATGCACATACTGATGTGGTTTCAGTTCAGCAGCCCAGTCGTGTTCTTCAGTCGAATCGGGATCGAGGCACTCGAGCAAGGTTGATTCAGCCCATAACAGGGGCTTCGGGACACGAAGATTTGAATCAGTTGTCGAGAATTCGGGAAATTTCATGTAATTGAAGATAAACAGCCATAGATGTAAATGTATATGTATGTATGATTTTGAAATTCTTACATTATTCAAAACTTGCATTTCTATGAATGAAAGCAATCGAAATCCTTATCCAATTCCATGTTGATTTCTGTCCAGCAATGTGTTCAAATCTGTCTCGGGCCGAGAGTGGATAAGCCCGGCTCGCGTTTATTCATTGAATGGATCTTCTCCAGCTTCAATTTGGCGCGGAAACTGGTAATGAAGCTCTCGGCTTTGGTGTTGACGTCGGGGCTGGCGCAGAACAGCGGCGATGGATGGAACGGCGTCGTATTGCCGCCGAACGCGGCGGACGGCGTGAAGTCGGAATCCAGATCTTCCGTGTCGGGCGACCCGCTCCGGGAGCTGGCCGTGCTGTTCACTCTGACGTAGTCGCCTTGCACCACGAACTTCCAGGCAGGGGTTTTGAAGAACCCCGGCGGCGGCGGAGGCGGAGGCGGCGGAATGCGGTTGAGCGGAGATTCGCCGCCGCTGTTGGAGGTCTCTTCCAATTTCTCGAAGGTGCGTAATTTGATCGGTTTCTGCGGATTTTGAGTGCTCGATTGTCCGATTTGGGAATTAGGGTTTGGTTTTGGGTGAGGCGCGAGTGTGACCTTTATGGTTCTCTTCCGTTTCTGTTTCTTGGATGAGAATAGGTTTTGCAGCACCGACTGCGACGGAGACGACGACGACGACGGCGACGGCGATTGCGCCGTCGGCGGCGAGAGATGGAAGCTTAATGGAGGCGGAGCTTCGTGGAGAAGAGAATCCAAATTATCGACGCTTTTTTGCCTCTGCTTTTTCTTCTTCTTATGGTAAAGAGAATTCAGAAACTCCTTCGTTGCACTTCCCGTCGCTCCGCCTCTTTTCCTGTCGCTTTTGCTGCTCTTCTGCTGCTGCGGCGGCGGCGGCGGCGGTGACGGCGGAGGTGTTGACACCATAGTCGAACGCATCTGTTCCAAATCCTTGCTCGGTTTCCTTTTAGATCTCTCCTTTCTACCTTTTCCCTTCGGCTTCTCATCCGAAGGCTCCGCCACCGGCGCCGCTGTAGGCGGCGGCGGAATGTTTTCAGCTTCATTGGATTTCGTCACCAATGTGTCAACAATTATAGTCTTAGTCGGCGGTGGCGGTGGCGGTGGCGGTGACCGGCTCTGTATCTCAACTTCTTCCAAGCTCCGGTGGCGGCGGTGCACCCGACCCGAATCGGTGACCCGGCCCGGATCAGCATAGTAATCATCGTAAAATCTCCGCCGATAATCTCCACCGTAATCCCAAAGATCAACGGACGAGGATTCACGCAGATCAGGGTAAGAAATGCTATTTCTTCTCAAGAAAGAATTCTTCCTCTCAAAGCTATCTGAAAATCCAAACCATTCTCTCGAATTCGAAAGATTCAAACTTTGCCCACCATCTGTTCGATCAAATTCCCACTTACCACTACTCGATTTCTGCGTCTCACTTTCTTTACCACGAATCTCTTGATTCTGAAATCCATCATAGTATCCATACCTCTCCTCGTTCTTATTCCTACTAAGAAATCCAAACACAACAGCAACCAAAACAAGAACTACATTCAAAGAATCCCAACTTTTTTTAACACTGTTTGGCCTAAAGATCTGAGCACTGAATGACAGGGTCGAAGGCAGAACAAAAGCCAAGAAAGCAGCAGCCATTACCAGCAGCAGAAAAACCACCAAGCCAGAACTGAGGAAGAAGGAGGAGACACCGCGGCGGCGGCGGTGATCGGCGGTGGATTGGAGCCAGAATGGTGTCAAATCCATCTCCTCATTCTCCTCTCCTTCCATGGTACGTTCCTTTCTGCTGATCTCCATTACTTTGTGAGAAAGAAAAAGATGCAACAGAGGCTTTTAATAGAATGCTTTTGGTTTTTAAGTTTTGTGGGGCTTTGCTGTTTTTCTTATACAAATGGAATAGTAATGGCCAGTGGGGTTATCCAATATATATATATATATTGTTGTTTATTAATGTGGGATTAGTTTATTGGAAAAAGCAACTTAATTTGATGAAGGCAAACTGGCAAATAGCATGTAGCCTCACATGTTAGCCGAGTGTGTCTAAGAATGACAGCCCAATTAGCCAACGCGTTTGGCATACAACAACCTGTCATTCTAATACGTTTACTCAAGCTAATTGATAAGCACAATTCATATTAGGTTATTGCACCTGATTCCATCCGAACTCCAAAATTAAGCGAATTTGATGGGTTGGGATCAACTGATGATCCGGTCAAGTCAGCATGGCGCTGATTTGATCGGATCAGTATATGCTATATCTCAATATATCTATAATACAACATAAATTGTATTATAATTCAACATATGTTATGTTATAATTCTAACATACGCTGAGATATATATAAACATGCGTTGTCACTCCTACAACATAGCTGATCAGTTAAATCAGCACAATACTGACTTGGCCGGATCATGACAGAATTTGCCACCGTATTTGATTGAAAATATGCACATATACCACATTTTAGAAATCATAACTCGGTACATGATTTCAATATATGTTGTGTTAACGAAAATCATATGTTGTCTGTTTTGAGTTTTCTTGACATTAAAATGAAGTGGGCCATGCCTATGGTTTTCTTTTATCTATTATTGCATCATCAGGGAAATAAGTCATGTGTTGATCTCTAATCCCTTTTCAAATTTGTTACAATTTTGCTGAGGAAGGAATCCAAAGATATTCTAGAGGTGATTCTTTGAAGCTCCATGGAGCCCAACACCGCATCATATCCATACCGTTGATTTTGTGTGATCTAAATAATAAACAGTGTGGATCCTTCTGGTGTTGGGATCAAGGACCCCAAAATACTAAAATCTAGAAAGCTTATGTTAATTATACAGTATGAATTAAATCATATTGATAAGTAGCATTGCTGTTCACCTAAAAGTTAACCAATTTGGGATTAATAAAATAAATACATTGTTGTAGAAGTCAATCTACCCTCTTGTCGTGTTCTTGTAGATCAAGCTAAGCTACCATTTTTGGAAACAAAATACTTGAAAAATCTCCGAACACAAGCAAAGGAATTGCGGGTTTTGTATTCGACACAAGTCTTCTAACCATTTAGATTGATAGAATTATATATCTTACTTGTCTGCCCTTTTAAGTTTCTTTGTTTTGTTAAGACCTAAACAATATATGTACAGTGAATCTTCAGTTACATATTTGATTGGTCTTCTTGTTTGCATTTCTGTATGTGTGTATATATATAACTTATGATTGATCATTTTAAAAAAATTATTGTTATCAATCATTTGATGAGGTAAGTGGTTGCTTGACTGAAATTTAAAGTGGTGAAAAAGTTGAACTTTCTTCCATGTGAATAGAGACAGACAAAGATTTGATGAAATGAAATTGATAGTGTTATATCTGTATATCACTTTCTCTTGCAATTGGAAAGTGACAACAACCGACATGGCTTCTGTTGGCTTGTTGTGTATACATCGGGTCAGAGATTGGAATACTTTTTGGTGCTTTTTTTTATTTTTTCAGTTTTTACAATTTTTATTTTACTAGTATTTTGTTTTTAAAATAATTTAGTTATTGATGTTAATATATTTTATATAATAGTTATATGATTTTAAACATAATATTTATAGATAAACTTCAAAATTTTCAGAAAAAAATAAGGCAACCAAAAAATTCCAGTTGTAAAAACTGTGTATACACAGGTCACAGTGAGCTGTTTAATTGAACAGCCCAGTTGTAGGCAAGGAGCGTACTAAGTCACCTTTTATAAAGGAGTAAATGGTAATTCCCCATGAAATTTAAGCTTTCTTTGTGTATGGCTTTTCAATTTGAATTTGACTACTTATTAATTTTTATTATTATTTTCATTCCAGCATCATCTCAACAATATATTTGTACTTTTTTTTTCTTTATATAAAAAAATTAATTTTATATTTAAAATACTATCTCAACATTTATCTCTATAAATCAAATAATTATATAAATTTAAATTTTTTATCATGCAAAATCTTAAACTCAATTTTAAACTTGTCAACAAACGCACCTTACCTTGTATAATAGCTACAACGATGTTAGGAATGTAACAATAAGCATCAAGTCACTTCTTTTTAAGTAGAGTAGCCTTTTACGAGATTACAAAAAATATGCATTTGAATTTTTTTTCATAAATTAAAAAATAATAGTATTTTATTGATTAATAAAAATATAAAAAAAATATATTTGAATTTTTGTAGTAAGATAAAAGTAATGGTATTTTAATTTAGGTAAAATTTAAAATATTTTGATATTAATGTGTATTTAGTTCCTTGTGAGCGAGACAAATAAAAATAAAAATAACAATAATAATAATAATAATAATAATAATAATAATAATAATACTTTCACTAAATATATTTATAGCAATTTTGGATATAGAAACTTTTTTATTAAAACTCAGCAGCAAAAAATTTGTTATGGTAAAAAGGAAAATGATGCAATATTATTTTTATATATAAACTCCTAATTTCACAGTATTATTAAGAGGCTAAATCGGTGGTTTTAACTAGTATGACTTGTCTTGCCAATTTTAGCTGAGAGTGAACCAGAATGTATTCGAATGTTTTCACCCTAAAAAAAAAAAAAAAAAAAAAAAAAAAAAAAAAAAAAAACAATAACACCAATATTTCCCCCCTTATTCTTACTAATCAAGCTAAGATGTGAAAGAAAAGTGGGAAACTATAAGGTGTGTTTCTTTAACACCAAAACTTTCAAATTTTTTTTTTTCACAAAATATCTTATCATACATCATTTTAATACTAAATTCATACTAAAATTTTTCAAAACCTAAAATCTATCCATCAACTAATTGCCAGTCAGCCAAACCAGACCGACCACCGCAAGAATAGTCGAAGTCTTAGCCATACCCAAAAAAGAGACTAATCAAGAATGAAGCTTATATAACATAGTATTAATTATAAAAAGTAGCCAAACATGACATCGAATTTCTCTGTCTCGAATCTAGAAACAAACACAAGGGAATAATGGAATGTCTCCTTCCTAGCTATAAAAGATTGATTAATAAAATAATAGCATACTGATATAGAATTAGTTATCTTATCACTTTGGAAAAAGAAAATATATATATATATATGTAATTCAAACTTCAGTTTATTTTAAGTGTATATCTGCATCTGCATCTACATTACTCTAGAATGAATTAATTAAAATATACCCCTACCCTACCCTCTACCCTTCCAAAATGAATTGCCTGTCAGATTTAGTTCTCACCGAATGAATATATGAAATGCTCATGTTGCCTCCACAGGCTCCTTAGTAGCAACATTCTTGCTTTTTGGTCGTCCACTTCTCCTCACATTTTTACTCTGCAGAAGCTTCAGAGCCTTCTCCAGGGATATCTCATCAGGCTTAAGATTCTGCAATAATTATTACATCACATCCATTCACCCTAAACTTGCTAGCATATATGCATTTATCGATCGACTATCAATACACACAACAAACAAACACATAAGAATAACAATAAAAAGACAATTTACCTTGGGTACAGAAGCAAAGGTGCGCCTATGCCAAATGTTGAATCCAGTGCCTCCAATCTTTAAAACCACGGGCTGATTATCATCCGGGTGACTTCCCTGGAAGACAAAGCAGCTTATCAATAGTCTGAACAATTATTGGAAAGGATACGATACTGATAATTGGAAACATACATACCAAGGTCACTGGATACTTGAGTAATTCTAGGGCATCTTCCAATGTAATAGATTCTACATCTTTTATCTGTCACAGCAGTGAAACATATATTATTCAAGTTCATCAAGAAAGCTTATGTGAAATGCAAAAAATCCCTTCTTGTATCTTTCTAGAATACATCAAATAAAGCCTCCCATTGGGGGTAATGGTAAATTGCTCTGTTTCTACATATTATATAGTTAGTTGTATAGCTACTATATGAATTTGATCATTTGCTCTGTTTCTACATATTATATAGTTAGTTGTATGACTACTATATGAATTTGATCATTTATTTGCTAAACAATGGACATAAATATGTAATCAAAACTTCAAACTTTGTCCGCAGCCTAAACATGTTTAGAAAGAGGTTGTTACATATTTTTACACATACTCGAGAAACTGAGGCTCGTTTAGGTACATTCCCCTTTCCGTCTTCACCAAGTTGCACATAGTATCCATAAGGGCCTTTCTTTAAAAGAACCTACAAAGTCGGAAATAAAAATAATAATAATTAAATAAATAACGGAAGATAATATATGTAGACACAATAAGAAAGTTACTAATCTAGCAATTGACAGTTGGCAGAGCACAACCTTCTCATTTGTTTCTGGATTTAAACCAAGTAACTTAGGCTCCGGAATACTGTCCTTTCGCAGTTCAGGATCCGTTTCTGCATCATCCTCACTGCAGAGAGCTTTAGCAATATACCTGCAGCAGATAAACTGGAGTTTTAGAAATAAATGATTAACAAATGAGCATCCAACCTGTGACATTTTAAACTCACTCACTTGCACTTTGGGTGTTTGTCACATCCTAGGAAGTATCCAGCACCAAACCTACTAACTTTGAATACCAATGTTCCTTCGCCACAGCTCGGGCAAATTCTATTTCCGTCACAAGAAGAAAATAGGAAATTGCTAAATGTTTGCTCCAACAACTTCTCCACTTGGCGGATATGGACATCACTTACAGACTCACAGTACTTGCTAAATCTTGCCCAGTAACCTTTCAGAAAGCCTTTCCCATCGGTAATTCCAGCAGATATATTGTCTAGTTCAGTCTCCATATCAGCAGTGAAGCTATAAGCTGTAACCTCAGAGAAATAATGAGAGAGAAAGGCAGACACCATTCGACCACGAAATTCAGGATAGAGAGTCCTGCCCTTAGATGTTATGTATTTTCTATCCTTCAGCACCTTAATAGTGGTTGCATATGTCGAAGGCCTTCCAATGCCAAGTTCCTCCAGCATTTTTACAAGGGAACCCTCTGAGTACCGTGATGGAGGCTGTGTATAATGCTGTTGGGGTTCTGTTTGGGCCAAAGACAAGGATTCACCAACCACTAAACTACTCAAAACCTCAAATGCTCCATAACGATGATCCTCATCATCCTCATTATTTCTGGTTCTTTTCATTTCAAGATCATTATAAGCAGCTTGGAAACCTGGAAATTCCACCCTTGAACATGACGAACGGAAAATTATAGAATTATTATCATTCCCAATATCGCATTGTATCTGCTCAATGATGGCAGGTTCCATTTGGCATGCCATCGTGCGCGACCATATAAGTGTATATAACCTCAGGGAGTCATCATCCAGCACCCCAACAAGCATTGATGGTAGTCTTCGGATGTCAGTGGGTCTAATGGCTTCATGGGCTTCCTGAGAATTCTTTACCTTTTTAAAATACTTGCGTGGAGATTTTACAGCAAAATTCCTACCATACTTTTCCCCAACAAAGGATAGAATATCATTAGCAGCTTCATTTGACAGCTGTACTCCATCAGTTCTCATGTAAGTTATAAGTCCTGTTGCCTTGTCATCTGATAACTGGACTCCTTCATACAACTTTTGTGCCACTTTCATTGTGTATGATGCACTGAAGTTCAATTTGTTTGAGGCATCTTGTTGAAGAGTTGATGTTATGTAGGGCGTCGGTGGATTTCTTCGAATGTTGCTGGTTTTGGAGCCTACGACTTGAAACTGTGTCAGAAAAATCTGTTCTTCAATACCTTTTGCCTCCGCATTCGAGCTAATGGACAGCTGACTCAGCCTTTTGGAATCAAAATGAGTTAAATGTGATGAGAGAAGAACATTGTTATCTGCATTTGGATTTTCCTTCTGAAACTGAGCACCAATCGTCCAGTATTCCTGGGCTTTGAATTCATCAATTTCCTTTTCCCTGTCACATATAAGAGCCAGGGCAGCAGATTGGACACGTCCAGCAGACTGGCAGCCAGGCAACTTCCTCCATAATAAAGGTGAAATATTGAATCCAATCAAGTAATCAAGAGCGCGTCGTGCGAGATATGCATTCACCAAATCTGCATCAATCTCTCGTGGAGACTGGAGCGCACTTTTAATGGATGATTCAGTTATTTCATTAAAGACAACTCTTGCAACAGTGACGCCTTCATGCAAAACATCCTGTTGCTGCAACATCTCAATGATGTGCCAAGCAATTGCCTCTCCTTCACGATCAGGATCTGAGGCGAGAAGAAGATTCTTTGCTCTGGAACAGAAACAACAAATGATAACAAGCCAGTCACAAACAACATTAACATACTCAAAGAACAAAAAGTGAACTTTGTGTTTTGGATCTTCTAAATTTGTGGTTAGAAGCAGAGAGCTTTAGCAAATAAAGAACTATACCCGCTTAACGCAGCCTTTATACTCTTAAGATGAGACCAAGCAGCTGTCGGGACTTCCCAAACCATACTAAAGTCATTATCAGGCCGAACAGATCCAGATCTTGCAGCCAAATCCCTAACATGGCCATAACTAGGTAAGACCTCAAACATTTCACCAACATATCCTTGAATAACTTTAGCCTTTGTAACAGATTCCACCACCAAGACAGTTTTAGCAACAGGTGGGTATAATTGAGGCCAAGTCTTTTGATCCTGAGACTTAGCTTTGGTTATGAAGGATGAATTTTCACCTATAAGTTCCGTATCAGACTTCAGAACAGAATGGCCGTTCACATCAGATTTCCCCTTCTTGGCCGAACTCCTAACTGCCTTCTTTGCCCCATTCTTTTTTGAAATGTTTTTATCAGCTTCTTCAGTTTGAATACCTGTAGTTGAATTAAACTGTCTATGCATAGTTAGAAGACTTAAACTGTCTATGCATAGTTAATCAAAACTATGTTGCAGTAATTAAAATCCGATTAACTTAAAAGATAGATTTCTAACCTCTGTATTTGATTCTATAGAAGATTGTTTATTTTTAATATTCCTTGTCTTTCTTGCTCCTGTCACTTTCTTAGAGCTGTCTGGTGCATCTGCTGCTTCACCATGGGTTGACTGATGTTGTTTTTTCGTGCTTCTAGATTTCGGCGCAACTTTATTTGTGCTCTTTGGTTTTCTTGCCCTTTTGATAACTGTGGAATTGTCCTCATCCTTCACAGTTGAGCTAACTAATAAGGACAACTCATCTCTGTCTTCCGAACTGCTACTTGTTGCTTGTAGCTTGAATGTCTCCTGTTCATGAGGAGAACATGCCTTTGGCCATTTCTTGTGCTTATTAAATGTTTCGAATGAACAGCTTCTCCAACTACTCGCACTTTTAGCATGAACAACATAATTTAGGGAACCTATTACGGGGACCTGAAAAAATGTCTTGGTGGTACTAACAAAGTAAGTTGAACTATGTGTGTGTGTTATCCCATAACTTGGAAAATTTAAAGGCTTTCTGGAGTTAGAAAATGAATATTCAAAAGGCATCCTGACTCGTAATGTGGAGAGCGGGTGACGAGCATTTATAGAACTCCTCAGCAAACAAACCATCCTTTCTGACTTCATACTTAAAGCACATGGCATACTAACTCTTAGCGGAGACTTCTCTGCATTCACAATGGAACGCTTTAAACAGATCTGAGGGTAACTTTGCAATGCCATATTCTGCACATAAAAGGATAATTAGAAAAACTCTTCACCATATAACCAAAGAAAAATTTGAGGATCCATATGACATGGAAGAACTTTAAATGAGAGCAATGATTTCTGAATATCATGTGTAGTGAAAATGGTTTACTTCTTTGTGGGCACTCTATCAAAGCATACAAAATTTCTCCTGTTTTTTTTTTTTTTTATTAATTTTGTATAACATTTAAGAACTAAAGCACATGCAAAAGATAAAATCTGATTAAGTAAATAAATTAATTCAATCAAAGTGAGTTACTAAAATTTTCTTAAACTAGCAGAAAAAGGGAAAGCAACATATGAACAGAGCCACATGTATTGCAAAAAAACAATTGAGGTGCACCAACCAAATGACAACCAACTAAAAGCCTTTACTGGCATTTCTCATCGCAAGACAATGCAGGCTATTAGCTAATCCATTGCACAAAGAAGAACAATTTGCATCACGATTGGCCAACAAATCCATTGCACAAAGAAGAAACTCACCAAGTAACGCACAACTTACCATAATAGGATTATGAACTGCAGGAGTTTTCAATGAAAATATATCCACCCAAAACACACACACACACACACACACCAAAAAGATAAATACTTCAAAATTGGCATGAAAGAAGGTTAATTTTTCATCCCATCAGTATGCCTAAACTCGTAAATCACAATTAAGGAGACCCACAAATTCCGCTTTCGAATATTACCATCACAAGGGCATAGGAAGCAGGAGCTTTTGAAGTCCGAAAAAGCTCAGTATAATCTACCCTCAAATTTAGCCGAAATTAGGCTTTCAGCTCATAGCCATTGAAAATTAAGGGTCATTGAATCGAATACAATAGAAACGGAAGCAGCAGCAGCAGCAGCAGCAGCAGCAATTAAGTGAGATTAATCTAATCGATGCACCACACAAAAGAATTACCGCAAAGAAGAAACTGAAATGCCGGGAGGGAGTGACCGGAGAGCGCTCCACATGAACATGGAAGTATAGCGTTAAACCCTACGGAGATTTAGTGAAATATCATTTAAACCTAGACTTCCCATCCAGTTCGGACCGCCCGTTACACCACTTATTATTCTTTCTATTTTTATTATTACTAAATAAAAAATTATTTCAAAATTGTTTTCTATGTTTTAATAAAAGATTTATTTTTTTAATATTTCAATATATAAATTGAAAAATATATATGAATTTTTTATTATATAAAAACTAGTTTCTCATTGCTTTATAAATATAGATTTATTGTTTATAAAATAAATAAATATTAATATATTTTTAATAATAACTTTATATAAAAATGTGTGTTACTTTTGTGAAAAATATTTTTTTAAAAAATTCATATGTAAAAAAATATTTTTTTGAACTCACATATTATATATATTTATTATTTTTATATAATTTATATAAATATTTTTAAAATTATTTTATAACAAATTATATAAATAAAACCATAATTTCACGATCACATGTTTAATTCTTAGGCGGCGAGCCATGTGATTTTTGCATTTTTTATTACAATACAAATTGATGTTATACAATTTATCAAAATAAAAATATTAAAATATTTAATAAATTTATATTATTTTTAATTTATTACGAAACTATAAAAGAGCTCTTCAAATTGGGAAGTAGAGAGTAGTATATATTTTTTTCAATTAAAAAAAGAATAAAAAGAAAAAAAAAATTAAAGGACTGAAAGAGAAATAGTTATATCAATAAACCCTACCCTCATCAACCAACGGCCGCCGTTTTCTCTTCTTCGCCTCCGCTTCCCGTCGGCGTCTCCGCCTTCATTTTCCTATTTTTCCAGCCACGTCGTCTTCTCGCACAGGCCGAGCCTTTTCCGAGACTATCAGATATGCTGCGTTGGAAACCACGACGGTGTCCGGCTACGGATTTAGTAATATTTTGAATTCAGAGGTTTTTGGAATTAGGGTTTTTAAGTAGTAGCACTGTTTTGCGCAGAAAACAGTTTAGGGAGCCATGGGCAAATCCAGAGGAAAGAAAAGAGAAACAGTGCTATCTGAAGAAGTATCCGAAGCAAAAATAGAAGGGGGAGCAAGCGAAACATTGGATGTGAAAATCAAAGTTATTTCTGAGACTGCGGAAAACAAAACCGCTCCTGTACTTGGTTACTTTCCGTCTGGTTACGATCCGCTGAAGAATTCGACAAGGTCAAGTTCTAGTGTAAAGATTTACAGGAATGTGAAATCTCGGAATCCGAAGAACCCCAGGATGCAGGTGGCGGTTGGAGTGAAAGGGTCCAATGTGAATTTTGTCGGAACTAACTATACCGGTGAGGCTACGGTGCCACAATTATGTAATTATGCTCTTGGAGTGTTTGATAAAGAGTCACGAACTTTGAAAATGGTTCCCATTGCCGCGAATAGGGTAATTATTTCATTCTCTCTGTTTTGTTAGTTTTATTTGATGTGATAAGATAAATCCGAGTGCTAGTTCTTCAGGATTGTTAGATTGGAAGCGAAAAACAAAATTGTTTTCATGATTTGAGATGTTTGGGTTTTGCAAATTTCTTTTTTAATGTTGTGTTTGTTTGTATGACGGCAGATTTTTCGATTGGAACCGAAACTGGAAGAACAGGAGCCGTCTGAGGATGAGGGTGGGGATGAACCTAAGGAAGAAATCATGGTGGAGAGTTCTAATAATCAGTTTAAAAATTTGACTGTATTGTATTCAACAAAGAAGGATCTCAGAAGGGTACTCGCCCAACTCTATCTAGACGATAAATTATTTGCATATTTTTACTATTTGAATATGGAACAATGAAGTAGATGATGATGATGAGATGAAATGGTTAATCTTTAGCTATAACATTTAAATTCATGTGCAGATGTATTACTGGAGAAATAGTTTGTGTCAAAATCTTAAATAATTTGAGCACTCTAACGAGGCGGTGTTGTTTGAAATCATGAATTCAGGATATGAAGCGAGAAATCCTGCGACAAACAGAAGGTCCACCGGGAACTCAAGAAGAGATGGACAAGAAGTTAAAAGCAATCGAGATAAACAAGGAGGCACTTGAAGCTATTAATTCTACAGTGAATGCTGAAAATGTTCCACCTTATAATCTGGATGCTACTTCACCAGATATGGCATATCCACTCGACCAAATAATTTTGAAAGGAGATTGGGATTACCTTCTGGATGTTTTTGAGCTTGCTGAAGCTGGAACTGGAATGGATCCTAGTGCCTACCCGTCTTTTGTATGCAACCGATTTGATAAATTGCATGATGTTGAGGTGAGCATTTTAGCAATCTCTGCCTTCTAGGCATCCTAAATTTTACTTTTATGTTATTTTAAATAGTGTACTGCTTACAAGAATTATTTTTTTAGTACTGCATTTATTTTCTTTTTCTTCTATTTTATGTCATTTAGCATCTTGAATCCCTTCTGGATCTGAATTAGAAGTGAATTAAGTTAGAGTTTTAAATGAACAATTCTGTGAATGAAGCATTCGATTGATGTATTTACAATTTAACATGCAAAAATATTAACCTTTGCTATGAACCATTAATGTTAGAATTATTTTTCAAATGATAGGATCCCCTCAATTATCTTCTTCATCTGAGAGTATGCCATTGCTCAATGAAGTGAACATATTAATCAATATTTGATTTGAATAATTTGATTTATTTTCCTTGATCATTTTCTTCTCTGCTCTTGCTTGTAGGATGAGTCAAAGAGAATGCAAGTCGCCAGCATATTGTCCTACATGACTCATCTCATCAAGTTCAGGGATAAACATTCTATGGATGGTGTATCGTCTGCAAAGGGCCACAAAATGCCTAGTCTCTTGTACCAGAAGTTCGCCTCAATGTTTAACGTCACAAGCAAATCAAGAATTCCAGAAGATAAGCAAAAGCTTCTCATCAGCTACATTTTGGTGCTCACTCTGTTTATTGATGACTTCAAGACTGAGCCTTCAGATATAGCCAAGGATCTTCGGATGGATACCTTAACGGTAAGAACACATTATGAGTACTTAGGCTGCAAGTTTATGCGACATAATCAAGTCTTCATGGCAACCCTTCCAGTCCCACTACAATTTCAGACACTTAAAAGAAAGAGGAGAAGAAAGTAAGTGGCACGCCTATGATCCCTTTATCTTTCTCCATTTTTCATTTACTATCGAGCACTAATTAGATTGTGAAAACTTGCCTGTAGTAGATTGTGAAAACTTGCCTGTAGCCTTTGTGCTTTGCTATATTTTTGTTCTCAGTTTTGGAATTTTGAAACAAGATCTTATTCATGATTTTGCAATATATATACAAACGTATTGAGCCATTCTAAATTCTTGATTTGTGTTGACGCAATGTGGAACAGTTGATTTGATGAGAAATTAGGTCTCTATGATCAACATATAACATATGTGTATGGATTGAGTATTGGCAATTTTCTGTCAAATGGGCAATCAAAATTGTATATTTGAAGAATGTCGACAATCTTATTGGCTCATGTCCGATGTTCACAAACTGATCCTTGTAAGTATCCTCTGCTCCAATCTTCGTATTCCTTTTGTTGAAATCAAATAGAATAAGAAATACAATTTGCACGAATTACTTCAAAATGCTGTTCAGCTCCTGTTTATCATTACTGGTGATGCTAAATATTATTGGAAAGTGTGTGTTAAAATGTCTGCATCAGAAAATCTTTAATTTCTTATTAAGATATAGAGCCATATAGGAATACTATTTTTATGCTAAGACTTGTTTGAGGAGGAAATTATCCATAAAATGTGCATTTCTGTTGAGCATTTGGTCTTCAAATACCCAAATTTGTGATTGTTGTGTTGTGCAGATGAGAACATTAGTTGTTCTAAATAAAACAGGTTCTTAAGAATCTCTGGTATAATTATATTCCCATATTCAAGAAAACAGACACAATCCATCATATCATATTGGAGCTAGTTCAAAAGATGGATAAGAAAATTTTATTTCCAGGATATGTATCTTCAATATGGCAAAGAAAATCCTTGGCAATTCAATTCAAATCTCAACCTCAGGGAACTTGGGACATTCATTGCCTAAGCAAGGGGCACCTATTATTCAAAAACAGGAAAAAAGGACTATGTTCCCCTCTTCGACCAAGTTCCCAACAGAGCATCCGTGAAAACCATGTCAAAACAACATTTGCTTCGAACAAGCATACATAATCATCAATCTGTAAAACTACAGAAAAGAATTGGAAGGAAAATGTCAGTTTCAAAACCGGTTTAAAGCAGCATAGACTCTGGATTCTCGATGTAGCCTTTGAAGGCCTTGAGCCATTCTGCTCCGATGGCGCCTGAATAAGTCCAGTTCATTTCATTAGAGAAGTTGAATTTTTCGCCAAAACAAAAATAATTGCATATCATTAGTAGAAGCCAATCGAGCAACTTACCATCGATGACACGATGATCACAGCTTAGTGTCACAGTCATGAACGATGCAAAGTTATAAAGTTCAGGTCGGGCGCCAGCAATAACCCGTTTCTCAGCTGCTTGTTCAGATGGATATTTGAGTGAGAACGAAGCCCGATGTCTATAAACTTTAAAGAAAAAAGAAGAAAAATTGACATTGGATGGAAGATGATTTACCTGATCCAACGGCTAGAATGCCTGCCTGAGGGGGGTTGATTATGGCACAGAATTGCTTGATTCCAAACGGACCTCCTAAGTTCGACACTGTGAACGTCCCACCCTGCAGCCATAAAAGTTTCAAGATCAATATGGTGCAGTTAAGTAGTCTCAGTGAAAGCACGTCGTTGAGGGTTCTTTGGTACCTCGTAATCTTCTGGCTTCAAGCTGTTTTCTTTGGCTTTCTGAGCTAGAATCTTAACTTCATCGGAAATTGTCGCTAAACCTTTCTTGTCAGCATCCTATAAAAAACAAAAGTAGGATCAGAGAATTGCTGTTGCTGGGGTGTATGATAAGCCTATGACACAAACAACACCTTACCCTAATCACAGGAACATACAATCCATTGTCTGTTTGGACAGCGACGTTGATATTAACATTGTGAAACCTGTATCAGACATAGAAGATGCTTCAATTAGAAGCCATGTTAAGTCGACCATGACTTTGATTTGCTAAGCACACTTACTGGCGGATGTAGTCGTTTGTCCACGAACTGTTACATTGAGGAACCTTTTTAAGAGCCAATGCAGCAGCCTGCGCATTCAAACAGCATCAAATAAACCAACTGCAAGAAACTCGATATTCAACTAATGAATACGAAAAAAAAAAAAAGAGAAGCTGACATGGTGTAACCAAAAGTCGGGATTACCTTAATCACAAGATCATTGACGGAAATCCTTTTCCCGCCTGAAGATTCTTGCAATGTGTTCAGCTTGCTGCGCAGTCTGCAGAGAAGTATTAATTAATCAAGACATGTATAAAAAGTTTGGTCGAAGCAAATCAGCATTTGCATAAAGACTGGATACTCACTCCATAAGCTTGTCAACACATGTATCTACAGTAAGATAATAATGTGGGATTGTTTGCTTTGATTGCAACAATCGCGATGCTGTCACCTGCCACGGAACGGAAAATAAGCATCAGCCGCTATACTAGTTTTGATGAAAAACTCAATGCATATAACTTCCTTTACTGTCTTATAACATTTTTAGTGTAATGACAACCAGCCCCATACCTTTCTAATTTGCGAATGTGGAATGTCGGTGTAATCCAGAGAAGTAGAAATAGCAGCAGCATCAGATTTAGGAGCAGCCTTACCAGGTGAAGCTACAAATAAACAAAAGAAAAGAAAAGAAAAAGAAATTAAGGTAAGTTGCTAGAATCAAAATCAATTAACCGACTTCAGCAAAGAAGCGAATCCAAAACAACACAAAGTCACAAATTAAGAAACCTCTAAGGGGGCACAGACACTGAGCCACATGAAAAAATAAAAAGGAGAACTACCTAGATAATCTTCGATATCAGCCTTCACAATGCGCCCCCCGGGACCAGTTCCCTTGATGTTTGAAAGTGATACCTGAAATGATGTACGAAATCACATTGCATGAGCACTAGTTTGTGCACGTAAACAAATCCACCATCCGACTAGAGCATTTCATTTTACATTATTATCTTCCGCAAGTTTCCTAGCAAGAGGACTGGCAAAAATACGATCTCCACCCGCTGATGGAGCACTAGGTTTTGGTGCTTTGGCCTCAGGCACAGCAGCAGGTGCTGGTGCAGATTCTTCTTTTTGTGGAGCCCGAGCAGAGGGTTTTTCAGGTGCGGGTGAGGATGCAGCACCAGAAGCTGAAGGTGTGTAGTCCTTAAATTTTGCAATGTCCTCCTCCTCTTCAACAGTTATGGCAATTATCTACAGACAATCCGATAGTACATCAGTATGAAAGAATAAGGCAACCTATATAAATTGATTCCAAAGCCTGTTACCTATCCTGAATATATGTCCATTCACTAAAAAAAATGTATGAGACAATGCACATACGAATTCCTTTACTTCCTACAAGATACATACCTCTCCAACTTTAATCCCGCTTGATCCTTCCTCGCGCAAAATTTTTGCTAAATACCCTTCCTCCATGCACTCCATCTCCACAGTTGCTTTGTCCTTTGCATAAATAGAAATAAACTTAGAATTTACAAATCGCACTCGTTTTGAGGAAGATTAGAGAATCGAGGGAACCATACCGTTTCCACTTCACAGAGTACTTCCCCAGGAGCTACTTTGTCACCCTCTTTCTTCAGCCACTTTGCAATGTTACCCTATATCATAGAAAAGAAGAAACACTTAGTATGATATTTGTGGATGTTGAAGTGAGAAGTGATTTAGGGAGAACTTTTGGCAGATGCATGCCTCTGTCATTGTAGGCGAGAGTGAGGGCATTCCAATCTCTTGGTGTGGTGGAAGATCTGAAACACAGCAGCATGTTTGGCAGTAAGTACAATCCGTGGGCAAGTATTGAAATATGCAAATCCTAGAAAAAGGTTATCTAAGGATGATTTAACTTGTACAACTGAAGACAAATTTTAAGATCCATAAGTGTAAGCCATTCCTTCATTTTTTATAGCCTGAGTCCAACAAAAACATTAACTATTGGGATTATGTACTGACCTGAATTGGATGAAAAGCTTCTGGCCAAATACAGTGGTTGACTGAAACAGACAATTTCAGACAGGTCAGCAAGAATTGCGTTTATTATAATATAGAAAGATAAATGGGCCGCTGGAGATGCTGTAACCTGTTGTATAATGCGCCGATTGTTGGTGCATTACCCTTCCTTGCAGTCCAAAAAAAACTTCCCTGGTTCCTTCCCAGCCCGGTTATCTTCATAACATAATTCAAATCCCATGTTTCCATAATGTCCCCAAATTAACAAAAATTTTACATTCAACACCAGAAAACACAAATAGAAAATGTTCCAAGAAATTCAATCACCATGGTTCCTTCAGCTGACGAACAGCATAGATTAGAAATGCCTCCATTGAAGCTTTTTGGAATGCTGTTCTTATCCCCAGGTCCACTACCAAGAGGTCTAGGCCTTGAAATATCTAGTTAACACAGAAAACACTCAAATCAAGCTTTTTTCTAAAGAGAAGAGAGGCTAAGGCATATATAGAATATATGTGTGACATATGCAGCAGCACTACAGTGTAAGATCTTTATTGACATCCTCGATATTTGCCACAGAATTGGATGCAGCTGCACCAGTCAAGTCATGCAAGAAGCCAAAGATCTAACAAAATGTAAATATCATATATTGGTTCTTGAACTCCTCTAAAACTTAAAACCAATTATATAATTCCTTTTCACCATCTAAACAGAATTTCTTGACAGATTGGCTGCTTTATAGTTTATACACCCCTTTTAATTTTAATATGTGTAAGTTTAAATTATAAAGACTTCAAAACTATCAACTTATTATCACTTTAGATAGGTCCTGCCATTTGGAACTTGACCTACAATTGTTTACAAGTAAACTATAGCAAGTTAAATACATAAAGTGGAATAAGGGGATTTGAAACTTTATCTAGTGTTAACAGTAAGGACATGTGATTCAATTAAATACATCAATCGAAGGTGCTGTGGACTGCATACTTACCACTGCAATAATATTTTAAGGCAGGAACTAATAAAATTAAGGAGCTACAAAGACAGACAGGAAGCAAAACCTCAACTTAAGCCATGTGGTAGAAATACTGATGATATGCAATGTTGTTAAAGCAAAGCTGAGAAACTTACAGTCTATTTTATCAGTCAATGGCCTCGCATCATTTGTAAACCACCGTACAGAAAGTCCATGACTTTGTAAAGCATTACGTGCTTGTTGGAACTGTAAGCGAAAGGAATTTTTAGATAGCTACAGACAAAGTATAGTATATGTTCGATGCTACATCAAGGAATAAGGCTTCCCTTTTTCTTCTGGCAAAAGGATATTTCACAATAAAAGCGATAATGATTTAATTGGTCATGGAAGTTTAAAATCAGCATCCTTTAACCTCAAACAGAGAGAGCAAACACAGTCAACAATTGCCATTTTTCATTCCCAAAATGAAGAACTATCAAATCCTCAATCGTTCTTACAACCATGAATCCAATAAGACAGATGTTCCATAGTACCAACCCACCACTCATGAACCCCCTCATATTACAACTATCTCCTTCCAATATGGACTCCAAATTTTTACAAAACACACTCACCGAAACCATCTCCGTCAATCATCGAAACGACAACAAGGAAAGGCCAAAAGGACACAGAGATTGCGCAATAAACTGAAATCAAGTCTCCAGATTAACATTTTAACCAAAAAAAATAAAACACCGAGCTCAAGTAAGATCCGAATCAGATATCACATCGAGTTATCTACTGAATCACACACAGATTGCCCAATAAAATTGAAATCATTCAAGCGCACAAACTGACGATCTGCTTTCTTAAAATAATTATAAGGAGAGAGAGCGATGAATGGAGTACCTTCTTAGCGTGATGGAGAATTCGAGCAGCGGGCGGCATGTCGGAATCTCGAGGTCACACCAGACAAAGATCAAATCCCTTAAGATGGCCAATATATGTGTGTATACAAACGAGTGAGAAGGTTTCTTTTGTGAATTGAAATCGAGCGAAGAGAAGAGAAGAGAAGGGCACGACACAGAGAAGAAGAGATGGGCCCGAAAAGGAGGCCGCTATTTGTTGAATATAAAAAATACAAATACAAATCAAAATCAAACTCAAATAGGAAAGTCAGTGAATAGCACACAAACGTCGGGCATCGCTATTTCGCCCTCTATTTTAGCTTATACATACACCCCACTCTCGGATTTAATATTATTTTTATTTTTATTATTATATGTGCAATGATAAGTTTTTGTAATATAAATAAAAATTAAATAATATTTTTATATTAATGTATAATTATTATCTTTTAAAAAAAATAATTTGAAATAAAAGAAAATAAAAATATAAAAGTAGTACTTTAAATTAGAATTATTGAGATATATTTTATAGTTTTAATAAATAAAAAAAATCAACATTCAATATAAAATACCAATATTATCTTAGTATAATTGACACAAACATTGTGAATGTATAGCAAAAATATCTAGTTCAAACAAAAACAAAACCAGTTTTTGTGTGTCGTGATTGTAGGAATAATTGTGAGGCTTCATTCAATTACTCTCTCTCTGTTTCGGAGTTATAATCTTAGTTGTGTTACGCACGATATTTAAAGAATATTGATATTATATTGATAATAGGTAAAAAATATAGGTAAAAGATATTTTTGTCCTTATAAATATATTAGTATAAAAGATAGTGATAATTGTGTAATAACAATGAAAGAGTAATGATAGTTATATAGTAATATAATTATTTATGAAAATAAAACTATTGTTTTGGTACGAACAAAAATAGTAATAAAGACACGAAATAGAGTATTTGATAGTCCTTCCAATTTATAGTAGTTACTACGGATGTGTTTGTTTTTTTTTTTTTATAATTTTTATATTTATATTCAATTTGTTCGTTTTCAGATGAATTTATTTATTTATTTATTTTGGTATTGATAATTATATTGGTAATATAAAAAGTTAAAATTTAAATAATTGTTATATAAATATGAATTGATATGATATTTTAAATATATAATAAATTTATAGTATAATATAAAAAAATAATTATTTAATATAATATTTTTAAAAAATTATATAATAAAAATATGCAGTAAAATTCACAAAAAAAATACAACTTTAATATTTTACTTCCTACTATTATTTATCCTTATTCGAAATAGTTTATTTATTTATTTTTAAAAATATTTTATTAATTTTAAAAATATTTTCAAAAATAATAACAAAGAGCAAATATTATTGGGGAGGTACTATTAGAAAAAGGAATAAGTTTTCCAGTCTCCCTGAGCGGGAGGGAGGGAAGGAGCGTCTCCGTGATTCGTGAAGAAGATTTTATCATTCGATTTCTGGCCTTGATCGTCACCGTGGCAACGAATCCCGATCAATTCGCGGAAGAGCACAACTGTGATGGGTAATCAGAAGCAAAAGTGGACGGCGGAGGAGGAGGCAGCGCTCAGGGCGGGGGTGGAGAAGCACGGAGTCGGAAAGTGGAAGAATATTATTGTAGACGCAGAATTCGCGCCGACGCTTGTCAACCGCTCCAATGTCGACCTCAAGGTTTCTCTTCCCTTCTCCTGCATTCAATTTTCGTTTATCGGTCGTTTTTTTTCTCTTTTTTCTGGTTGCAGTTTGATCTTATATGGCGCACTGATCTTTTTGATTAGTCACTGGTGTCTGTCGATATACTGTACACAGTGGTTCTAAAATCATGAATTGGACCACATTGTGTGTGTTGTTTTTTTTTTGTCCATCATCAATGCATGTTATCGCACTATTTTACAGTTGTGGTTTTTTCAAATGTGTATGCTAATGCAGAGTGATTATTTTAGTATGTTTGAGATGTTATTGATTTGTTGTATATAGTTCCATGTGATTGATGTTGTTGGGAGGAAAGGTTGAGTGGTTGTTTTATATTTTAGTGTCTTTGGCCAGAATAATATGAATATGTCCTAGTACTATTTGATTAGAAGCCTCCTTGTTTTTACGCCTGAATTTCACATGATCATTGTTGGTTTCATAATTTTGTCAATGTCTACTTTGGGGGCTTATTTTATTGCAGAATTGTTACTGTTTTTCAAGTTACACATCCACACACATCCATTGAAGTTTGAGATTATATTATTAAGAGTATATAGAAAGTGCATGCTTGTCTTATGTGTCAGATTATTGTTCAAGCAAGGAAGCATTGTTTGTGTTAGAAGGTAGATGTATATGTGTAGTATGTATAGATTTCCATGCTCTAATACTTCTCTTGTCATTATAGCCATTTGATCTCTTCAAGCCTCTTAAAATATGTCAATTGAAAAACTTTTGTCTTTCTGCTTTGGTCCTTGGGGAAGGTTTTCTACAACTGGAAGACTAACTATAATTAAAGGAATACACACAAAAAAAAAAAAAAAAGAAGAAAAAATAAGAAGTCTTTGACTGTTGATTTATGCACATTCAACCTTCTGTGAGCGGTTTCTATAATAAGGAATAAACTAGGAAATGAGAATAACTTTGGGGCAAGTACGCTGAAAAAGAAAATATTTAAGAATGCCAGTAACATGTGTGTTTTGAAGGATTCTTGGTAGCAAAATGTTCAGATTGGGAGAAATTCCTGAAAAATGTTAAATTATGTAGAATTTTGCTCCAAATACTCATCACACAAAGACCTGTATGACCTCCTCCAGGCTCCAGTAGTGCAACTCTCTCCGCGAAACAAATAATGGTTATGCTAAACTGAATAATACATACTAGATTTTGCGTAGTGATATGTTAATATATCATGAATCTTCTTTTATATATTTGTGCAAATTGTGAACTTGATCATAATAATATCCAGCTGTTTATCATGGTGAAAACTAAACATCTTTGTAACTATCCAACCTAGAAATTGAATCTTGAAACTTTTAAGCACATGGCCATGCTGTAGACTGTAGTTATTGTGGAATATCTCCGAGCCTGCTTATCAAGGTCATCTAAGCTCCTCTTATGTTGTTATGCTATTTTTAAGTGTATGTTATAGTGAGAATGCATTTTTGGAATTTTAATGATAGGTTGTTTATCATGTTGAAAGTCTTTAAGCAAATAATTTGGCTGCTTCTCATCTAGTCCTTTCTTCTTATATATTGTGAAAATAAATTTCTTAATCACTTTATTGGGTAAATAATCAGGACAAATGGCGGAACATGGGTGCTAATCAGGGAAATGTCTCTACTACTCCCAAAGTAAATGTAACTACATCAACAGCTGAGTCACCCAAAACTGGAACCAGTTCTCCTGTTTCTAAGTCAAAGGAAAAAACAAACGGAAGCCTTCGCCGGAGCTCTCCGGATGGCCGAACCACCCCCACGTATGTTAATTCTTTCAATATATCTGGAATTTAAGCATGTCGCCTTTTAGTCTGATTTAAGCTTCAATTTTTTTCACCATTCTACATTTGCTTTGTAAGCCTTTCATAAATCATAACATCTTGTTCCAGATATGCAAGTATGTTGTGTGCGTGTATATTTATGTATTGTATTGTTAACCTCTTATTTGGTATTATACTAAAGATTCTCTTTCATTTATCGTCTCAGATACAGCTCAATGATAGCTGAAGCACTTTCAGCTCTGAATGATCCCTCTGGTTCTAGTCTCAGTGCAATTGCAGAGTTTATTGAGGTTAGATGGGTATTCTATTTCTTCTACTATCATAATATTTGTGCACATTTGAGGAAGGGGGCCTTGACATTGTTCTAGTCTATGATCATTTTATATCACAAAGGGGCTTTATGGATTACATCCATTTATCTAAATTGGCTTCTTGCAACTCAACAATCTTGCTCGTTAAATTTACACATAATCTTCATCTAAAATGTTGATCTCCAATGCCTTGTGTTTGACAGGCAAAGTATGAAGTGCATGCAAATTTCAGAAGGTTATTGAGTTCGAAGTTGGGTAGACTTGCCGGCCGAGGTAAAATTGGGAAGGTACGCTGAGTTCTACTCTCATAAACTATCCCATTTGCAATTTATGTTATGAATTTAGGCTGCTGTTTGATATTACAAACGCTGCAAATGAACTATGAACTAACAACACATAGCAATTACGCAATATGTTTTTTATGTGCTGACTGGGCAAATGAGTTTGATTCGCTTGTCAGCACTTTATAATTTATGGGACCTGAATCATTATGTTCTGATTGCCACTTGTAAATTGAAATGGCTTTATGATAAGTGGACATCGAATTTCTAACTTACATATTGAAATTTCTACACTTTGTGCATTGCTTATCCTCACTTGTGTTAGAATTGTACGTATCTAACTTATATGTTGAAATCTCCATTGCTAGTGCAATACAGAACATGGCCATCAACGTTACAAGTTGAATGATTCTGGATTAAATCCTAAACTGACAACAACTCCGGCGCAAAGGAATGTCAAAGAAAGACCATTTCAGCAGCCTAATGCATTTCAGAAGTCGGGATTCAGTCCTGAGCTGACAACCCCTGCGCAAAGGGATGCAAGACCATTTCTGCAGACTGGATTTAATCAGTTCGCCGCCCAAAGACCATTTCTGCAGACTGGATTTAATCAGTTCACCGCGCAAAGGCCATTTCTGCAGACTGGATTTAATCCTGAACTTCCGAGTCCAGCGCAGTGGGATTTCGGACATAGACCATTTCAGCAGTCTAGTGTAACCTACCGTCACCATACTACTAAAGATGTTTGTACGTCTAACCTCATCTACCCTTCCGATACTATTGAAGATGCAGCTTCAATAGCCGCGCGATGCGTCGCTGAGGCAGAAAATAAAGCGTTCGTTGCAGCCCAGGCGATGAAGGAGTCCGATAGAGTCATGCAATTGGCTGAAGATGCACTTGTGATGCAGACACTTTGTGAAGAGTTTCTTCAACAATGTAAGTCCTTGTTGCTACCTTAAGCCATATCCCGACTCCATAAATTTTCACTTCTTTTAAACGACGTATCTCGTTTTTTTCCAGGTTCTCAAGACGGATACATAAGCATTAATTAGCTGCATTCGTATGCTAACAGCTACTAATTCTTCGGTGTACATAAGATCTGTCGAGAAAGAAGTCACACCAATTTCTCCGTTCCCTTAGATGATCGATGTTTTGCAAGTTAGAAGTTTTGCACATCTCTACTGATTTCCTTTATGCTATGTTGAACCCGAAAAATACAACACCATGCTATAAGTAAAGGGGGATACGATACACTACAAGAGGTAATTTTCGAAGTATAAGATTCAAAAGACAGACAAACTACGATAAAAATTGCTCAAAAAATCTGGTACACAAATGTTCAGCCACAAATGTCAATGAGTCGCTGTCTGGTTCGAAACAAAGCGCGAATATTTTAATGACGACGGATGCAAGAATTCATAAAAGAGTAGATTTTTCCAGCTACAAACGCAGTAAACTTTGCTTGAACAAAATTCCTTGCCTGAACTGCGTTGGCATTGTCGATTCCAAGCTGCTTTCTACAAGAGCACAAGTCCAAGCTCCGATGGTCTTAAAACTTGCTTCAGTCGATAATTGTAAAGATAGTAATGAAGCTTCCCATCTCCCGGGCCGAATTTCAGCTCCTTCAAGAAGGTTTCGTTGTGCATAACATCCAGCGCATTGAAGACATCAAAATCCTTCTTCTTGGCGACGATCAAGGCGTCGTTCATCAATTGGAGTAACGGAGTCCTCGTGGAAACATTGTAATAAGAATAAGCAGCCTTCAAAATAGAGTGGTTTTGGTTACCAAGTATTGAAGACGGAAGTGTGTAGAAACTGCAGAAATCGGTGATCTCATGAGTTTCAGGACTTTCGACCAAATAGCTATCCACGACATTTTCCTTCGGAAGCAGCCAGTGCTCTACGTCGTTCTCGTCAAAGTCCGGTGCAACGACAAATTGCTTCAGGTAATTCCTCAGCAGCCGAGTAACCGCAGGAACATCATGAGGCTCCATCTTTCTGAACCCGGGGGTCGCTGTCTTGTCTGGTAACTTATACAGCTTTATTGTTCGACTCATTGTCATCCTCGCACCTAGCCTGGAGAACCCAACATCAATTAGCTTCTTAGGGTTCAATGATCTGTGCCAATATTGACAAGTCGTTATCGGTGTAGGAAGAACGACGCCAGCTGTATATGCCGCCTGCCAGATATTCTCCAAATGAACCCGTCGAGTAACCTCTTTGATCATTACTGGAGCAAGCCTTTTCGATCGAAGCTTCTTATGAACACACAGAAAGTTCACCTCCGCCATCAAGACAACAGTGTCACGGGCTCGGATTCTTGCAGGAATGCCCGTAATAAATGCAACCAATTTCTTTGATGCCTTCACCCTCACCCCAATATGCCAGCTCCGGAAATAGCCAGGTGGCCGAAGAGCCCAGCTAAGAAACTCCTTCGAGTAATTGAATCTAAACATGTTCTCGTCATCCTCCACATAATTATGGGTCAGCAAAGTGTACACTTCGCTGCATACTTCCTCAGAATCTAAATCGCAAGTAATCCACTCATAGGGAGCCGGAAGATTATAAGGATCTTGTTTGACTTCAGACACCAGCGTTGGTGGTTCAATCGGGCCCTCGGGCAGACTCGAATCTCCAAGATCCTTGAACTGCCCAACAGGTTGGGTTTCCCAAAACTTGTGCCTTTTCGAAAGGGAAAATGACTCTTGGACCTTCCTAGCTAGTGCATCAATTGACATTTCATTCTCGTTTTCTGAAGGTACGCTCTTGTCATCGTAGGTGTTTTCAGTCGGTGCATCGTTATCAGCCATTCTGTAAAGGACTTATCTGATAAAGACAGCAGCTCATATCAAATTTCTAGTAAAACCAGACACAAATTTGACCTAAATACTATGATTCAGGCAAATAACAAAAAGAATTCATTACAGATCTCTGGTAACACTTTCTCAAATTCAATTTTTAGAAAACATGACCTTATGCTTAAGATAGAATGATGCGGATGTAGCAAGAACACTACACAGAGTTAAATTTCCACATGAAAATAGCATTAGTGAATGAAAATCATCTGAATATGAGGATCATCAAGTAACATCTAACAAATGATTAATCTCTTACACTAGCTGAACAAGATCAACGTTAGAGCATAACATATCACTGTACTAAAGATTCTTAATTCCGCTAATCACTCAAGACACCTGTTTTAAGGGAGAACTGCAGATTTACTAAGCATCGTCGGATCCAAAATTAGCGAAAATCTCCTAGAATTCCTAATTATTCCCCGTACTGAAATTCAATTTCACAGAAATTACTAACCAAAACAAAACCAGACATCAGTGAACTATTAAAAATTCAATAAAAGAAAGCAGGGGGAAAAAAAACAGATCATTAGGATCCGAACCAGCAAAAAATTCCCAACAAGGAACTGCGATGGTGCTCACCTCTACCGCGATTCAAAATGCAAAACCACTGAAGATCTCCGACTTCAGCAAACTGCAATCTTCTTCCAAAACCGCAATCCGCTACGCAAATTAACTCCGATTCTATTCTTAAGACAGGAACGAAGTGATTGATTTGATGGGCGTCAGGAAAAACGGGACCAAGGAATCAATCACATTGGATTTTCAGCTGAGGCAGATGCTCCTCCATTAACCCTAACTCTCATGGGCATTTTAGACATTTCACTCAACTCCATACGAATTGGACCCTTAATCACAGATCAGCTAAATTATAAAATTTAAATGGACCCAAGGCCCATTAAAGCTTAGGCCCAAAATAGAATACAATTTATTGCCTTGCGGAACTCCTCAATTTTTCACTTTCCAAATTTAATAGGTCTTTTTTGCCCTAGCCGCAAGGGTAGTATAAAAACGAGCAATCTCATCATTGGCAGCCATTGGCATCTGCATACAGCGTGATTCCGAAACTACGCTCGCGTTCTAAACTCCGCGGCACGGATCCGAGGAGTTTTGATTGTCCGGCGCTTAATTGACCGCGTGGATATTCTGTTTGTAATCAGGATTTGAGAGGTTTGAATGATTTCTCACTGGTTTCGCCGTTTTTGTTTTAAAAAATTAGTTTATGTCCGTGTCGATTTTTGGATAATCTCTGAATGCATTGTGGTTGTTATTGTTTTCGCTTTGCGGTGTGTTAATGTTCTGGAGATTTGGATTTCTGTTTATAAGTTGATTTGCTTTGATCTTTGAACTATGCGCCGTTTTTATTTCTGTGAAATACGTAGAATGCTTCGATGCCCGTTGTGCCTGCGAGTTTTTATTTATTTATTGTTTTTCTTGAGTGGATATGATTGTGAGGCCGAGGTAGAGTTGAGGAAATGGACACTCTGTGTGCTGCAATGATTCTTCCTTTATTGCATTTGTTTGTTTGTCGATTTATTCTGTTTCTGTTGTAGAAATCTTTGTTTTGATAACAATAGGTTCTCTTGTGTTGCTTTGTGTGAGATATAGACTCTTGAGAGTTCGCCAGGCATGATAGATTTGGGGAATGTGAGTTGGGGCCTAAATTGTACTTATTTAGTACTTGATGATAGCCTACTGACTCTTATACTGTCATTCCCCGACATGGGAACAGAAGTTTAATGCTTGTACTCCATATTAAATGGCTTGCGAGTTTGGCTCTTCTGTGACATTTAATCTTCAAAAAGGAATGGCTTTGTGGCTATTCTCTCCCATCAGTAGTAATTTGAACTATGTTTTCAGATAGTATTCTTTAATTTGCCTTTTTTCCTTACTTTCACTATTTGCCTTAGTGCTTTATTCTATACCTTTCAATCATAAGTTATTACATGACCTATATTCTAACATGTAGTTGCTAATTTGCCAATAACACTGCAGAATTATGGCTACTGTAACACCTGAAGGAGCACAATTCGATGCACGCCAGTATGATGCTAAGATGTCCGAACTGTGAGTTCTTAATTCTAATGCTAATGGTATACTCTATTCCGTTTGTTCTAGTATTTGATTGTTGAAATTTGCAAGTTGAGGCATTATTTGTTGTTTGGTTTTCTGCTTCAGGCTCCAATCTGATGATGGGCAAGACTTCTTTACTTCCTATGATGAAGTTTTTGATACCTTTGATATTATGGGTCTTCAGGAGAACCTCCTCAGAGGCATTTATGCATATGGTATGCTTGCAGATAAACTGTTTCTTACTGATCGCTTTCTCAAGCCTCAGCATTTTCACTGAGCAGTAATTTTTCTTCGTCAATTTTTGCACGTTCATGATTTTTTTTCCTTGTGTTCCATACAGGTTTTGAAAAGCCTTCAGCCATCCAGCAGAGGGGAATCGTTCCATTCTGCAAGGGAATTGATGTGATTCAGCAAGCTCAGTCTGGAACCGGAAAAACTGCAACCTTTTGCTCTGGAATTCTGCAGCAGCTTGATTATGGCTTAACACAGTGCCAGGCCTTAGTCTTGGCACCCACCAGGGAACTTGCCCAACAGATCGAGAAGGTTATGCGAGCTCTCGGTGACTACCTAGGTGTTAAGGTCCATGCATGTGTTGGTGGAACCAGTGTTCGTGAGGATCAGAGGATCCTTGCTGCTGGTGTCCACGTCGTTGTTGGAACCCCCGGGCGTGTCTTCGATATGCTTCGGAGGCAGTCACTCCGCGCTGACTACATCAAGATGTTTGTATTGGATGAGGCTGATGAAATGCTCTCCCGTGGCTTTAAGGATCAGGTATTCATAATGATTTACCATTCTATGATCGTCACCATCATCTCAATTATTTCCTAATCATGTGATGTTTTGCTGTTAGATATATGATATTTTCCAACTGCTGCCGCCTAAGATTCAAGTCGGAGTTTTTTCTGCTACCATGCCACCTGAAGCTCTTGAGATCACCCGGAAGTTCATGAACAAACCGGTGAGAATTCTGGTGAAGAGAGACGAGCTTACTCTTGAGGGTATAAAGCAGTTCTACGTCAATGTCGATAAGGAAGAGTGGAAGCTGGAGACACTCTGCGATCTGTACGAAACCCTTGCCATCACTCAGAGTGTCATCTTTGTGAACACCAGACGTAAGGTCGACTGGCTTACCGACAAAATGCGATCCCGGGACCACACTGTCTCGGCCACCCACGGGGATATGGATCAGAATACTCGTGACATCATTATGCGCGAGTTTCGCTCCGGTTCTTCTCGTGTTCTGATCACGACTGATCTCTTGGCTCGTGGTATTGATGTGCAGCAGGTCTCTCTTGTCATAAACTACGACCTCCCAACGCAGCCGGAAAACTATCTCCATAGAATTGGAAGAAGTGGAAGGTTCGGAAGAAAGGGAGTCGCCATAAACTTCGCGACGCTCGACGACGAGAAAATGCTGCATGACATTCAGAAGTTCTACAATGTCACCATTGAAGAGCTTCCATCAAATGTTGCTGACCTTATCTGAGGTATGTTTTTTAGGCTTTTTGTTTCGGCTGCAGAGTAGATGAGGAGGTGGGGGCGTTTGGAAGTTTGTTATTTGATAGTTAACTAGTGTTTTTACCTTTATTTTTAATATTGGTTTTTTTTTGGGATCTATCTTAATTAAATTGCAAAGAGATGAATTATTTTTGTTACACCACACTTTCATCGTCATCATCTTAGTGGCCTTAGAGAGAGAGATGCGATTTTTGTTTGTAGGTATGCATGCTAGTCTTTGGATTGTTTTTGCCCCAAATTTGTGGTTTAAATTTAGATCTGAGTTTAAATTATTTGGAACTATATTCATTGAGTCTTATTCTCTATTGGAACTCAATCAATATAGCTATACAACGAATAGTGCTTCTCCATGAAAATCCCATTAAATATTTATTTTCTATTAAAATATCTCATCGAAAAAATCTAAATATAGATCGAAAGATCTAGTTACCACTGTAATTTCTTACCATTCTTTTAATATATAATTTCTGATTATTTTTCTTTGAAAGATATCATTTTTCATAATGACAAAAGCACCAAATAAGTATCGCCCTAGAAACAGATTCAAAACACAATTACAACCTTTATATAAAAAATCTAGGGATACAAAACGTAATTGCACAATACCTACTAAATTAATTAATTAACCAACGTTTTTTTTATTACATTTTAGGGTTTTATTATTATTATTATTTTATTTTTTTCAAATATTTACCATGCATTTTAAAATTCCCAATAAAAGCATAGGTATTTTCTATTCAAGATAATTACTATTTCACTTGACAATAACAAAAAGTTAAAAAACACACACCTACCTAAGGATATTGAATTTAAAGCATTTCAAAAATAAAGAAATTCCAATACCATCTGATTCTCTAAAAAGAAGAAGGGATATAGATTTAAGAGACCAACAAGAGCAACATTGCATGGAAGACTCCAACTGTGTCTGTGTATATAAAATGACTCACTCACTCACACACTATACCCAACATAAATAAATAATACTAAAACACTTTCAGATAAATAGGGAAGATGAGATGACTCACTTGGGATCACATGACATCGCATCACATCTGATCAGCTCCTTCCAAATAAATATATAAATAGTACTGCGTCATGGCACGCGATTCATCTGCGCGCAACTCAACAGATTCTTCGAGTGCCAAAAGCTAGCTGTTTGATATTCACGATTTGGCTCTAGTCCAGTCATTCGTGGCTAAAATGTAGTCTCTCCATGCCCTTGAGCGTGGATTCGAAGTTCTTTATTCTCGTAAAAGATGTGCGGTTGGGATCTGATGATAGGACAGGAGAATTTCTCTGTGGGAGGACGGAGCTTTTGCCGAGTCTTCTTGGGCTGGGATCTGCTGCCCGGGTGCGAGAGGGATCAATATCATTGCATGAAACCTCTGCTTCACGGCGCCTTGAGGAGCCAGTCGGCCTGAAGAAGCTGGAACTAGACAACTACAATTATACCAGCAGGATCGAAGAACATTAGAGCTTTGTCAAAGATAAGCCAAAACCAAGAAAGTCCAATCATGGAGCTACTACAAATGTATAACACTAAAAAGGAAAAGCATTTTATTCAGTTTCTTTGAATAATCATAATTAATGGAAGGTTGGGGAGCAGAAAGGAACAAAACTTGGCCTTTGTATTAGGGGAGCATAGGACTTACTTCTCTAGAGACAGAGGATTCGTTTGCAACAGCACCTTTCTGTCTCGAAAAGCTTCCAGAATTCAAGAAATTTCTGCTTCGACTTGCACTTGCAGACCTAACAGGGGCTTTACTTTCCTCGCCACCTGCAGAATGGTAGCAGAAGGTTATCGACCCTTACAACATCAAGAAAATAGTGCAATTCTAACTTCCTAACTCGTTGCTACTCTATAATTGTTGTAAAATGGATGGGGAAGCAATGGGTGTTTCTACCCAACTAAAAAATTTGACACAGTTCTGGGCTAATATTATTAAAAATACCGACACACCTCCTCATATCTGATGAAAAAACAAAAACAAAAAACGAATAACACAAAACAAAGATGCCGAATTGCAATAGGATATATGGGAATCCATTAAAACCCCATAAACTACCTGGTTGTCTTTCAATAGTTGCACTTGGAATTCCTGACGTTCCTGCAGCAGTTCCCTGCCCAAGCCCATTCATAAGATCTCCATATGCCAGCAGCACCGAAAACATAAATAAACCTAAACTTGGAAGCAACTCACAAGAGTAGATAGAGGATTGGCCAGCTGTGATTGCTGATACTTTAATATAGTCCAGTCATACACATAATCAACTTGAAAACCTGACATAGGGACGTGAAGCAAGAATTAACAGAAAATAAAGAATATGTTATTAATACATAAAGCAGGAAGTAGTCTCCAAGACCTTCGTTAATGAAAAGATCACGGAATATTTTCTTCAAATATGCATAGTCTGGTTTGTCATCAAATCTCAGTGAACGACAGTAATGGAAGTACGATGCGAACTCAGCTGGATAGCCTCGGCATAAAGACTAAAATGGATGGGAGGGGGGTTCCAAGTCAGTTTTGCATTGTGAATATTTAATGATGATCTATCAGAAAGAAAAAGATTATCAATTACCTCAATAGTAGTCGCCGCTTTTTTCTCACTAATTTTCTCATATTTCTGTTTCTTGGTTCCAGCTTTCAGCCCCTGCCATGGGAGGCTATAGAATGGAAGTTATTATAAGTGCAGATATCATAAGAAGTCAAGAAAACTGATGGAGCATTAATAAATAGTAAAGGAAAATTCATGGGACATACCTTCCTCTTAGGAAGTACATGAGAACATATCCAAGTGACTCTAGATCATCCCTTCGACTTTGCTCTGTGCATTTATAATTGCATAGGTAATCATAGGAAAATTAAAATCAATACCTCGGTAAAAATAATATATATAAATTTAAAAATGTTTCTCATGTACATACCAATGCCAAGATGAGTATTAATGCTTGCATATCTGGCTGTTCCAGTCAAATTTTTATTTTCCCTGCATTTAAATTTGAATTTGAGCTTTCTGATCTATGTATAATCAAAGGAAGACGGATGAAGCAACCATAAAACTTATGTTAATGGATTACAAGTTATGCTTTACTTATATTCATATTACAATAAAATAGAAAAAAGCAAAGAAAAGCTTACCGGTATGGAATATGGCGATGATTTGTAGAGTCCCTATATTTCTTGGCCAGTCCAAAATCAATGGCATAAACCTTGTTGCAATTGGAGAAACAAGATACAATAGATCACATCAGCCAAAGGATGAAATAAACAGGTGATGTTTAAGGAAAATGTAATAACAGAAACCTGATTTGCACGTCTCGACAAACCCATGAGGAAGTTGTCAGGCTTGATATCTCGGTGCAGGAAAGATTTAGAGTGAATATATTCAATTCGACTAATCTGAAAATTATTATGGGGAGACCACAAGTAGAATCAGATTTTCCAGATATTGTTAAAAGACCAAACATGAACAAGAAGAATAACATACCATCTGATCAGCAAGCATGAGAACAGTCTTTAAAGACAACCTCCTACTACAAAAGGTAAACAAGTCTTCGAGACTAGGTCCCAGTAAATCCATCACAAGAACATTGTAATCTCCTTCCACTCCATACCATCTAACATTTGGAATTCCAGCTACCAGAGTTATAAAACAAACAGTTAGTGAGCACTTTGCACAAAGACAAAAAAAGCAAACAATGCCAATCATATAAGCCACCAATTTTATTTTATTTTTTATTTTTGAAAGAAAAAAAGAAAAAAGAAAGACATAATTACTTCCTCCTTGAAGTAGCTTATACAGCTTTGATTCATAAAGTAGCTGGGGATGCTTTGTCTTGACATTTTCCTGAGCATGAGTAATCGAAATGAGTCATATATATTACATCATCCAGGCAAAAACATCAAAAAAATTCACAAGGAAGCCAAATTAAAAGTTACACATTTGATGCCTACTGTCAGTGCACTAATAACATCAATCACGGGGATAACTTCAACCAGTTTCAACAGCTAACACAATTATTCCCTTTCAATTGTTCCATTTTTTTACAAAGATCATCATGTTAACCAAAAACTATCTGGCTACAAATCTGCATTTGATCTTTTTCCTACCATGTATAACTGAATTTCCCTGTTGCCTTTCATACAACTCCAATTAAAGCTCAGGCTATATTTCTTCTCCAATTAAAACTCAGACACAATGAGCCACTGATGACAAAACCTTCAACCCAAAATAAAGCATCAAAAGCAAAATGCAACACAAATCTTCAAATTACTCACAAGCTTAATAGCAACTTGTTCACTGGTCTGAATATTAGTCCCTGCCACACAACAAACCATCAGATAAACCCAAAATTGACAAATTCATACCCAAAAACCGCAAAATTCGAAAAAAAATACCAAAAATACCGCACAAACCTAAATAGATCTCCCCAAAAGAGCCGCTTCCGATTTTCCGTCCAAGCCGAAACTTGTTACCGACACGCGGCTCCATCCAAATCCTGCAATTACCTCCCAAATCCCTTCCGAATTCCAACCCCCCTCACGTATGCCGCAAAATCAAGCCAACATACACTGAAAGTGAAGCCGAATTCTACAAAGTTAAACGAGATAGCGGTCCAGAAACTCTGCAAGCGATTGATAATGGGGCAGAGAAGTCATCGGGAGTCCTTCCGTCGACCCAACCAATAAAATTCGCAGTCTTTCACAGGCTATTTTGATTTGCTCAAACCTAGATAACAACAACAATAATATTTTATGTATATTTTTTTTTATAGTCCGTACCGCTGCGCCCAATACGACGCCGTATAATCGTCGTCAAGCTGTCATTGTCCAGCCCACTGCCTTTATGGGCCAGGTTGGCCTAATTAATTATTGGGCCCCCATCCTCAATTTAAATCTGTTAGCACCATTATGGGCCGATATTGGGTCTTTATATTTTCTGTGATGTATTACTTTTACTATTATTTAAAATATTATTTATAGTACTCCTTTTCTTCTAAACATCGTCCAAGTTTAAAATAATTTAGATATTAAGTAATATAATTGGAGAGGAAAATGATTATTTATTTTTTTTATTTGAGTGATGGGATAGATAAAGTGGAGTTAATATTAATATATGTATATAAATATTACTCCTAATTATTTCTAAATTTGAAAATATTGCACTGAGTTTAGGACAAAAAAATAGAAATGTTGCAGGGTGGTTGAGACGAAGGGAGTATATAATTAGAATTTTAAAGACTAAAATAAGAAAAATTATGTATAATTAAAAAAAAAAAAAAAAACTTATAAATGATTTGGAATAGAGTAATATATAATATAAATTAATTTACACATATTAAACAATTAAAATAAACTAATTTTATAAAAACATAGGGTGTGTTTACTTGTAAGGTGTTTTTTGTTTTGGTTTTGATTCTGTGTGATATTTTAAAAATAAAATTAGACTTAAAAAAAACACATTCATAATAATTTAGAATAGACATAAACATATTTATTTATTAAAAATAAATAAAAATATTTAAAAGTGAAAATTGTTTAATACATGCAAAAGCAAACACCGTCAAAATAGGACTGCAAAATAGATAAGCGTAAAAGTAATACAAATTGAATTGCAATACTTACTTTACACACAGGCAGGAGTGGCTAACTTTACAAGAGCCTCAAAAATGGCTCCAAACACAACAACCATACAAATCTCAATCCAATCCATATTCCTTCAAACCTCTCCGATCCAAAACTATCCCCCAAAAAATCACAGTGGCAAACAAGAAGAAGTTTAAAAAAAAAATTAAAAAAAAGAACAAGTACATGCACCATTACAAATGCTATACTACGTCTGCAATTGCAGCCCAGAAGAATGGTTGCTAATGCTGGAATACTTCTTATTCAGCCTGCCCTTCAGCAGCCTGATCTTAGCATCGACTCTCGCCGAGAATCCGATCTTCGTCTTCTCGCGGGCCTTCGACTTCTCCCGGTGCCACATGTGCCCGTCTTCGATGTGCTTCTTATAGTACTTGATCTCCTGAATTATGTGGTGATCCAGCGGATTGAACGTCCTTTGGAACGATATGTGTGCCAGGTACGGGAGGTTGCACACGATCGTTACCAGGAGTGTCGCCGACCAGTAGAGAGGAGCTGGGGCCAGGATTTCCCGGAGGACCCGGAAGGCGTTGACCTGCAAGGCGTACGAGGATTCGCCGTAGACGAACAGGAATAGGTACCAGGTTAGGACACTGCCCCAGACGAGGAAGTGTTGGATCCATGTGAAGTGGCTCATCGTTAGAGCTATCTGGCAGTTCACGGCCCATATCACGCAGGTCATCATCGTCGTCCCGACAGCAGTCATGTCTGCAGTCTGCCCGCCGGCGCGGAATGCTTGGTCGTAGAAGATGATGATGTTTAGGAAGAAGATGATGAGGGATGTGTAGAGGCCGTTTCCCATCCATCCGAATATCCGTTGCCAATCGAAGAAGAGATTTTTCGGGCCTTGCTGGTATAATGCTGGAAACTGCATTGCATAGAGTTTGTATCAGTACGACTGCATGAGAAATCGGGAATCGAGCGTATGGATTTTCCAGTAGGAACTACCTGGAGGCATACTTCGGAGTCGACATCCTGTTCAAACACTCCGAGTGAAATGACGGGCAATGAAGTGAGGACGACGTTAAATAGCAGCATGTACCAGTCGTCGTACACGGACTGTCCGGAGAAGCTAGCAAAAGCCTCGAAGTAGAAGATTGTGAGGCCGAAAGCGATGTTCTTGTAGAAGAAGTAACATATCTGTGGATAAAATGATTGGAAAACAAGTTAGATCGAAAACAACAAACATCACTGACAGCACAAGGAGCCGGAGAAATAAGCACGGCAGATAATGTACTGAGCAAAACTCATGAAGATTACCATCTGAGCAATCCTTTTGTAGCACCAGTGTCCGTGTACAACCAAAAGCCTCTCCAGAAATCGAAACTGTGCAATTGCAAAGTCACTTGCCATCACAGCCTGCAAGCAATGAAAAAAAATCAGAAATATTTATTGGATTTTGCATCTTCAGCTATCTCATATGGACGATAATTTAGCAATCACAGATGCTAAATGCCCAGGAACAGCATTCGCCTCGGTAAGGATAATACAAGTTGGTAATTTTAATGGATTAGAATTTTAGCATTATGTTTATACATAAATGTGTTTAATAGAACAATAAGAAGAGATGCTGCATCAGTAAAGCAATAAAGGCATCGAAATGGAAGAATCATATGAAGGAGCCAAACTTCAAAGATATATACAACTATCAACTGATACCAAGAGCATATGCTAGAAAGTCGGGCATAGAGAAAGATATATGAGGTTGATTTCGAGCACATGAAAAACTTTCAATAACAGCCAGATGGGGTTGATTCGAAAATGGTTTCATTTATTCTCAAGATACACAATAGAATAGAGACAAATTTGTCACCAACCTGCATTCCCTCACATCCACTGATGCCAATGCCAATGTCTGCTTCTTGAATCATACCAACATCATTTGCGCCATCACCTATTGCTAATGTGATTTTCCCGGTTCCCTCTTTCACTAACCTCGTTACCTATTTTCCCCAAGAGCATGTGTAAGTTGAGGGAATGAGAACTTAATTCCAAAATTACGTTATAGAATATAGATAACATACGGAATTATGAACTTCTTAAGTACATAAATAACCTTACCAGAGCTTTCTGCTTTGGCGAGACTCGACAGCATATTACAGAAGCACAATCAACGGCTAAATTCAAAAATTGGTGCTTCATATCATCCTCAAGTGCATAAGTGAGAGTTTTCCCATCAATAATCAATGCGAATGCAGCATGAGGATCCTTTTCCAATTTAACCATCTGGCTTGCATTGGTAATTTGCATAGAGATATCTTCTTTTGCAGCCTTTTAAGTAACAAATGGAATGATGGAGGTTCCCATTAATGACTTGCCAAATAGTGTTAACATTTACTTTGGTACTGAAAATTACCTGTTTAGATTCGTGCCCGGCTGTTTCAACATTTGTTGTAATACAAATTTGCTTCATGCCCTGCCGAAGTAAACTACATGCAAACCTACATAATGATGACAACCTTTCAGTCATACAAATTTAGAATGCATTGGTCATCAAACTATAAATAGTCAGCATTGGTAAACTGATTTTTTTCGGTGTAACTGGAGTAAGTCGCATAAGTGGTGAAAGATGCCTATATAGCACCCGTATGGCTCGCCGGATGACACATGTCCGTCCCCGTCAGCGACATCTAGTGGACACATAGATTTTTTTTAATTTAAATTTATTTATTTTATCTTTTTTGAAAAAATTAAAACTTTTCAAAAAAAATTGAAAATAATTTTTTTTAAAAATATATAAAAAATAATAAAAATCTACTTGTCAGGCCGGGCTGACCCGGCGGACACATATCCTTCGGCGAGCCACATAGGTGCCATGTAGAAATCTCCGGCGCCGGAAGACTAGAATTGCAAAAAAATATTACTTAACAGAAGTTTGCGACAATATTCAGTTAGGAACTAAAATATCAGTTTAACCATAGTCAGGAATATGTATAAAATAACTGAATATTGTTGAGAAGTATACCCTATATTAATTGCAGTCTCCATCTTATCGCCTGTCAGAACCCAGATTTTCAGACCTGCTTGTGCCAGTTTGTCGATGCACTGTGGCACCTACAAAGAAGAACTGGTATAAAAGGAAATGCATAACGCACACACTCACACAGAGATGTATTAAAATAATTGATAAATTGTATAACATACTCCTTTCTGTAATTTGTCCTCTACAGCAGTTGCACCAACAAGTATCAAGTCCCTTTCCATCACATCACAAATCCGCTCAAGATTTGCTTCCCGATCACTACCAAACATGGTTTTTGCTTTGTTGAACTCCTCATTCCAACCATTATAATCTGCCTCATCAAGTTTCTTATATGCAAGAACAAGTGTTCGTAATCCAGCATCCCCATAATCGTTCAAATGCTTTGTGGTAGCTTCCTCATACATTCTTCCATTCCTCGATAATCTTTCAAAGACAATGCTGCAAGAAAAAATATATGTATATATATATAGTTACTACAGTTGACAAACAAAACTCAGTTGGTTCAAAGACTTTTCCTATTTTCTGGTATTTTCTCCTTTCATGGGGAGGAGATGGTGACCAGAAACACTAGATTTAAGTCAAGTCACCACCAAGTATGTACTATGAAAACATACCTGTCGGCACCTTTGCAAAACAGAAGAATTTGACCCTCCTCATCCCTAACAATTACAGACATTCTCTTCCTTTTGCTAGTAAAATCCAACAGATTCAGGACTTTGTACTCCCTGATAACACAAATAAATATTTGCATATTAAAAGTTAAAACAGTGTATTCATAATAAACTAATTTGCATAAGAACTACTACTCTGTTGCCTCACCTTTCAACAGGCTGTTGAAATGAAGGATATCGCTCACGGACACATACACTTGATTGAGTTCTTTTACAGAATTCAAAACCAAATTCTCTGGCAGCAACAACAAATGCTCCTTCATCTGGGGATTCTGCTTCATAGGTAAAGGTTCCAGTCTCCTGATTTTCCTCTGGAATTGCAGTGTGACAAACACCTAGTATTCTGAAAAATAACAAGATGGCATCTAGATTGGGCTCCTTCAACCAATTTCCATTCATGAGACGGCTATCCTCAAAGCTAAACCCCTTTACTGGAGGAGGTTTATGAATTTCTTCAGCTTTTGATGTAACAACAGACTCCAATTGAATTTCTTCTTCTACAAATTCTCCATTTTCCTCTGTTGAGTTGGCCATCTTTTTGGCAGCAGCAAGTTCTACATCGCTAGCACGAGTGCCATATGCTGTACCAGCAATGGAGCATTTAAGAAAGTCCATTTGGTTGCAAGTCAATGTACCAGTTTTATCAGATAGGATTGTATCAACCTGCCCTAATTCCTCATTTAAGTTCGATGTCCGAGCCTGAGCTGGAGTTCCAGTCTCTTCGTCATACATATGAATATCACTGTTTATGAATTGAGCCTGGAGGACCTTTACCACCTCAATTGATACATAGAGAGATATAGGGATCAAATATCCATACAATATAAGGGCAGTAATCAAATGGTAAAAACCGGACTCTAGGGGTCTGCCAGGATCATAGAGACGTTTGGGGTCTGGTACTCGTAAATACCACCATTTTGGCAAATCATATTTAGTCTTCACAATGAATCCTATACTGCTGATGAGTGAGATGAACACCAGAAGACTGAAAAGGATATATATTATTTTGTCCATTTGTTTCTCAATCTTACTCCTTTTGGAAGGCGACTCCGTAGAATTTTGCATGACTTTGCTATCATGGCCAGTGAATATCACCACCCCATAAATAAATGCAGTGTTTCGAAGCTTCGAATCACGAAGAAGGATCTGACCAGGTTCAAGAGAATAGACCTGGCGATCATATTCCAGTTTACCAATAAAGGTATAAAGATTTGGGTTGGGATCCTCACACTTGATTGTAGCACTAAAGTCCTTGAAAGCTGAATCCTCGTCCAATGGTAATGTTACCTCCAAGGCTCGTTTTACCTTCAGATTTGTCTCGCCATCTAAGTTCATAGTCTCAACATAACATATTCCATCTTCGTAACACGAAGACAAAAGAAGTAAATCTGCAGGGAAGAATTGATCCTTTTCTACTTTCACTACATCTCCGACGCGAAGCTTCATCCATGGTTTGTAACCAAATACACCATCCTTTTTATGCACCATAGCTTTTCTTAAGTTAACCTTCATATCCTGTATAAATCTTCGCCAATCTTCAAGAGCTTCTTTAGCCATACTCAATCCAACCACAAAAGCCAACGGAGCTATCATACTGAGAGGGCCAAAGGGTGTGATAGGAGTCAGTGACAAGGCTGCAGCCAGAAGAAAGTACAAGTTGGCGACTCGTCTGAATTGCTCAAATATGGCCTTTGGGAAGAACGTAATTATATTGTACTTAGTGGTAGTAGTATAATTCGAGCGGTACTTGAGAGGTTTATGGTCATGTTTCTCTGGCTGGTTGCAGTAAACAATCCGAGAGAAACCTGGCTGTAGGATATCAATTGATCCATCTTCCTCAGTAGGATGTGACCAATGGCAACCAAATGTGTGCAGATAACCCCTCCGGATCCTCGCCCTTATTCTTCCCCCAGGCATTTGTGAATATTTCAAAGCTCAATGACACCTTTATAAGTGATTCATGCGCAAGCCCACGTCGTCGTAAGTGAAAGAATTCATTATATGATCACTGTGCTGCATGATAACTAGAAATGCCAATCTTAAAAGAATCTGAATTTTAAGTGAGGCTGCAGCGGACCACCTGAAAATATGGACAAAATTTCACACTCAATTTGTTGTAAGGGACCATTGAACAGCAAGCTTTCTCACAGATAAAAACCTAAATTATTTTCCAGGATTCATGCATCTAACGCATCCAAGCCTGCTTTAAAATTAAAAAGCCGTAATTGAAGTAGTGATCATCACTAGCATACAAAAAATATGCAAAATTCAAGATTAACCACGAAAAAAAGGAAATATTCAGTTTGAAAACGAGAAGAACAGAGCAAAAGAACTCATCGCTTTCTTCACCATCCCCTTCAAACAAACAGCAAATAACAGCTTTGATTATACTAGAAAAAAAAAATAAAATTCATTCAACATACTCTGCCAAAAATTGTATCAAAGCTAATGCCAGCTAACGAAGCTCCTTCTACAACTCGCTCTCTCGCTCTCTCTCTCTCTCTCTCTAATCGAAAAATCACAGGATCACAATCACAAACAGCATTTACGTATTTCCTAACCAATCCAACAAAATGAACAAATCCGGCATTGATAAGATCACCATCACACGCAAACGCGTATTCAAAATTAAAATCAAATTTCAAATTTCCCCCTTTTTACTTTTTTTACCTCAGCAAAGAAAACGGAAATGCAGAGCTCGCCGCTTCCAATCTCAGCTAAGCTGCAGCAATGTCGGTTGCCAAAAACTTCAACGACGAAGTCAAAACGCCGATCGACCGGCGAAGACAGACGCCGAAACAGCCTTAGTCAGATAGAGATGCGAAATCCCGCATTGACGCCGCTTTCTCTCTCCTCTCTCTTTCTCTCTCTAATCTTCCGAAGCCTTCATTCTCTCATTCTTGTTATTATTCCGAAATAAATATTTATTATTTATTCCTAACAATTTAAATAAAAATATTTTTATTAGTTATTATTAATATAAAAATAATTAATTATAACATAAAGCCCATAAAGTGATAATGTAATACCTAAAAAAAAAACAAAAAAATTGCAATTTTAGAATCAAATTTAAAAAAAATTAATACTCGACACGTTACATTTGATGATCTAATTTACTTCAGCACCAAGTCAGTATTTATTTATTTTTTTCATATTAAATTTATTACTTCTACCATCATTTAAAAAAAATATATATATAAATATATATATGCCTATTTTATGTACGAATTTAAAAATATATATATTTAAAAATAGAAAAATTTTAAAATAAAGAAAAAAATGGTTAGTAAAAAAAATATTAAATGACAATAAAGAAATACTATTTTTAATATGTATTTTGGCCGGCTATGTATTTTACTAAAGTCAAATTTGTAGTATATATTTAAAAATGAACATAATTTTCAGGAAAAATAAAATAATTTTTTAGATTTTGATATTTAATGGAGTATCTTTTTTAAATTTTTATTTTTTTATTTTTTTATTTTTTCAAATTAGGCGTAAAGAAGTGTTTTAAAATTATGGTAACATTATTATCATTAAATTCAGAAGACTGTTTCATACATAGTGGGAATTATTTTTAAGTCAATTTTATTGTCGTGTGGGGCACTACACGACATCAATCAGTTTTATTTTCTTAAAAATAATTATACACATCTCTAAAGAAATTAATCACATTTTTAAAGGCAATTTTGTTTGATTGTGCTTTCTACATTCTATTTTAATCATTTTTCAAAATATTACATAATATATAGTATGTATTCTTTAAAAAATATTACACCAATTATTTATTTATAAAAAAAATAAAAAGATAAACTAAAAAATTAGAGTATTTAGACAAATTGTATTTGATTGATTCTAAATATATTCAAAAATAATAATTATATTCGGTCTGTCCACATAGCATTTTATTATAAACATATAAATATATTCAAAATATAAATTTTTATTTATAAACAGTACAATTCTCTACTTGTATTTATGGTGGGCACCTAGATTTAGGTGCAAATGAAAGATCTTTTTTATTATTATTATTATTATTATTATTATTATTATTATTATTTAATATTAAAAAAAATAAAATAAAAGATATCTATTGACTAATATCGCAAGCATTTGTTTTTATGTTGAAGTTTTCTTTTCTCTTTTTATTTTTTAATATATTAATTTTAAAATTTTCATAGTAGGACTGTAGGAGGTGTTTTGCTTTGTGTGTATGTGCGTGCTTTTTCTAGAAAAAGAATAAATAAATAAATAATCTTATAGGTTTTGTTTTTTTGGTGTGTGATATCAATCAATTTTTTATACAAGTTTCGATTGGTAAAAAATATTAATAATTGGTTCGGAGTTCTAAAAAAATTAAGATTGGTAAAAAGTTTATATTTTATATTTCCTTTGTCATAATTCAAAGTTTTATTATTATTATTATTTTTGTTTTTTATATTTAAAATATTATATTTTTATTAGATAAATATTAAAATTCTTACATACAAAAGGGACCGAGGAAATATAAAGTTTTACGGGAGAATTGATGCCACATTTAATATATATATATATTTCTCATGTCCTATAAAAAAATGTTTTATTTTTTATTTATGTTAATCCCAAAATAATTGTATCTTTTTTTAATTTAGTAACTATAATATCTATTAAACATAATAAATATATTTACAATTTACAATTTATTATACAAATGTTATTACTTTTAATATACACAATATTGATAGGAATATTTATATTTTTCACTACAAATTAATATAATATTAATATTAAAAATATACGTTTAAAAACAAAACGGTACTCTTTTTATGAAACGAATAAATTATATAATTTCAAACAAAGTTGCAACATTATTCATTTAATTTATATTTTATAAAAATATCATACCCCATTTGTCCATTTTAAAAGTATATATTTATTTTTTTAGGTAGAATTTAAAAAAAAAATAATATTTTAAATGTAAAGAATTTTTAAAAGTAATATAAAAACAAATTTATTTTTACTTTTTAATATAAAAATAAAGATATGATAATAAAATATGATTATTTATATAAAAATTTCACAGTTACTAAAAAAACTAATGATCAGTTTATAATTCAATAATCCAAAATAAATATAAATATTCTTTGTGAGTGAATAAAAATAATAAAAATACTTATTGTTGAGTGAAAAAACCAATGTATAGGGTTTCTTGAAAATTAGCTTATAAATTGGACTAATGTATAGTTTTGATAACGATAGTAGGATCTTAAATGGTCTGGATAATGATAGTAGGGTCTGGATCATGAGAAATTATAAATTAAGTGGGCGGTGGATACAGAGGTCGGACAAGATGAAGTCGGACAAAGAATGATGAGATGGCCGAGACGGAGGTCGGACAAGATGAAATCGGGTATAGAAGGATGAGACGACCAATACGGAGGTCGAACGAAGAAGGATAAGACGGCAGATATGGAGGTCGGGCAAGAGGAAACTTGGCAGTAGGTGTGCAGGTCGGACAAAAGGCGGTTCTGAGATGGTTGAGAGAAGTTTCAACCGGCGAGCGAATATAAAGGCACGATCTGGTTATGGCGGTTGACATGGGTTTTAAATAGGTTTTTTCACGACCTAAAGAAAACCATCTTCAATGGACATCAAATTCAGTGAAATTTGTTTTGAGATCACCATTTTACATTTACAGTATGTAGTATTTATTTTTTCTATTTTATTTACGTATCGTACGGTGTTTAGGGATTCTTAAATCTCAGACATTTTATTTTATCAAATTCGAAGATAATTTCTATTTTCGAATTTTACTTTTTATTATTAAAAATCTGTATCAACAATTATATTATCTAATAAAATATTATATTAAAAATTTTATTATTTCCTATCGTTAAAAAAAAAATAAACAAAAAACAAAAAATCATATCTAAAATGGAATATAAATCATTTTAGTTTGAAACAAATAATGAAATGAAAGATGTTATGAAGTGGAATCGATTTTATTAGTAATAGTTAGATAGCACGAAGAGCATTTATGGTGAACACGTAGTATTAGGTACAACCGAAATTTTATTTGTCAAATTATGCATCATTACATACTCAATTTAGGCAAAATGTGTCCATTTAGGATTGTAGTTTTTCTCAATCTTTCTATTTTCTTTCTATATTTAAATATATATTTTTAAAATTTTAAGTTTGAAGTTTTGAAAAAAAATAAAAAATAAAAAAAATTAAATAGTAAAATCTTGTATATTTGATATACTCAATTTTGTAACATTAAATAAAGCAGTGTATTTATTTTGTATTACTGGATAAGTGTGGTTTTTTATATCAATAATAAAAAATTATAATATTTTGTATTAAATTATTTATTTTTTGGAAGTAAATATAATATATATTAACATACTTAATATAATATTTTTATTTAATAAAAATAATTATAAATAAATAAATAGTAACAATTTTTCTAAAGCACTCTACATACCAATAGATTCTATTTAGATATATTTTGAAGGATATTAGAAAATTGTCACCATAATTTCAGAAAAATGAAATAAAACGTCCCTAATTATTTGATAATGATTCGAAGGCAATAAATAAAAATTGCTTGGAAAATAATCCAAACGTGTGACACAACCACTATAGTGAAAAAGCGATGCACTTTTCTATCCATTAGGTGCAATTAATTAATATTTATTTTAATGCTGCGCTGGAATTATCATTAAATTGCATAGGCACACCATGTGATTTCATTTTTAATTTAAGATGATGTTTCCCCATTTCTTACTATTATATAAAACGTATGGGTTGATATATTATTGCGTCTATTTTCATTATTTTATTTTTCGAAAATTCATATTTAGTTTTTATTTTCATAATTTTCCCACAATACAGATTCAGTTTTTATTAGGCGGTCCTGGCCTGCGGGTCCCACTATCCTATGTAGTATGTACTTGTCCTATGCACTTAGATTCAAATAGGAATGTCCGAATATATATATATATATATATATATGGACGATATGTTTAATTATAATTTTTTTAAAAAAAAAAATTATTATTTATTTTATACTAGTATTCTTAATAAAGTTGAATCGGGTTCAAACAACATATACTAAAATTTGCTCCACTAGTTTAAGAACTTTTATAACTCATCAATCTAATTATAACATATGTAATCTACTTTTTAATTTAAAATATAATTTATTTATTTTTGATAACAAAAATAAATAAATAGTATTTTGAATTAAAAATAGATGACCAATGTTCTGATTTAATTGGTAGGGCATAAAGGCCGAAAAAAGAAGTGGAGTTGAAGATCCCTTCCCACGTGTGGATATATAATTATAAAAAATTAAGAAATAAGGGTGTATTTGTGTTCACAACAATTAGATGTGCTAAATGGTAAGAGAAAATAATTTAAAGCAAAAATTTGCAAAGAACACAAAGCCATTGAGTTTGCATGCTAAAATATTAAAAGAAAATTAATAAAAAACAGAGCCAAGAAGGGCAAACATATATGATGTGTTCTTTTCTTTATCAATAAAAAATTTTGTAACCAAAAATCTTAATAAAATTACACTTTTATCACATAAAATATTTGATAATAATAACTCATTCTATAAACATCTCAAGCCTTTTAATAAGGCATGCATATGTTAATATGGAATAAACGAAGATGGGTGTTAATCCATATTGTATATGCTGATTCGATCAAATCATCAGCATCATACTGATTTGACAGGATTAACACATCTACAACACTTTTAACACTTTTACTATTCTTTTTAAAAAATACATTTTATTATTTTTAATAACTAACAAAAAAATAAAAAAATAAAAAAATTCACTATTTGGGATACTCTCCCCCTAGAACATATCTAAACATATCCAGAGAGAGAGAGAGAGATATGCATAGGAACTAAGAAAGAGCAATTCCACTTTGCATAAAGCGTAGGATAGTTAGAAAGTAGTAAAGCAGGTTAGATGAACTTTATTGTGAACTACATAAATTTCAAATTACAATAAAGGTCCGAGTAGATTAACATGCACGTCTCAAAAAGAAGAAAACCAGCCTATGAACGTTTACTTGCATTTTTAAAAAAAAAAAAAAAAAACTCTTTTGACATTCTTTATTTAAGATATATATATATTATAACGTAAAATATCTATTTACCACACATCAAATAATAACTTTTTACTATTTTTCAAAAATTTCAAAACTCAAAATGAAGGCCACAACCAAATGATACAAAGAAGGGCACCGATCACGCGATGCCTCAATCAAATCAACATGGTACTGATTTGATCGGGTCAACATATCATATACAAACATACAACATATATTTTTGCATAACACAACATATGCTGTGTTATAAAATATCATATGTTGAATTATAACATACCATATGCTATATCATAAATATTCTATGATAATATGTGTTAGAAATTTTGGGGGAAAATAATGAAATTGTTTTATTGATCATCAAAATAAGGAGCTAAGTAATCTAATCATTTATGAATAAGATCAAATCTAAATATAAATCTACTAAATCTAAAACCGAATATCTATAATATTTCAACAATATCTAATATACGCTGATCATATCAGCACCGTGCTAATTTAATTGGATCGGTACCGGATCCGCAGCCTACAAAGAATGACTCATTCATACCTGTCTCAGTAACTTTAAGCTTTTCGAATTCAACACTCAGGCATGCTCTGTTGATGGAAAAACAGATCAGCCACCTATTAATCTGTCTTGATGAGCAAAAATCCGATACAAAAGAAACACATGGTTTGATATAATCAGTCAAGCTATAAGAGAAGCAGCATGTAATGTTTTCACTAAACTATAACCAGCAAAAGAAGATAATTTGTTATCACGTCATGGGTAGCTCACACGAAACATGGGAACAAATAGGGGTAAAGTACAAGTACATAGCGCCGACATGTCAAAAGAATGGAATACGAGATGATACAAGTTTATCTCAGAAGTGATCTTGTTAAGTGCTCCCGTGCTGTCGCCAGCGCTTGAGATATTGTCTGCCAAATGATAAGAATTCAAATTAGTAGAAGCGGCCTAAACATTCATGTGGAGGTTAATGTCAAAACTTTAGGGCATGTTTGATTAATAATGATAATATTTAGGGTTGTTTTACATAATTATTGCATATAATTATCACCACAAGATAAACTACCGTCAGTTTAAAGTGTAATTAATTCTCGAGTAGCTATTAAGACGACAAAATGAACTTTTAGCAGATGTGCTGTGGCTTAAGATAATTTTAATCCCATCAAACTGAGAAGGATTGATCATCATTAACTTTTATTATCGTACATTTAATTTATTTTCAGCTTATCATAATGTAAAATAATTAAGTTATTAGCACAAAGTAAACAAGCTCTGAATGTATTCAACCTGCTCGGACAACGGAGCACCATCATCCATGCTGTGAGTTGCCACTTTGCCAGCAATGATGCTGCCATCGGTTTCAAGCACGATCCTGGGAAATGAAATAAAAAAATAGCAATGAATTCAAATGATTGATTGATGAATTATAAAATTTGGAGAATGTAGAAGTGAAGAGTAAACAGGCAAAATATTAACTTGAAACAACAGAAAGTGAATGTAATTAACATAATTTATGGCGATAAAAAAAGGATAAAATTTTGTAAACAAGAAGTCACACTTAATGAAATAATTTCCTCTACCGAGTGAATCAGATTTCTTTCTGGAGGCGAGTTTCCAAATATATTGCAATAAAAAGATTAGTCGGCTAAAGTGAGAGGTATTAAATCTTCAGAAGTACGGTTATCGATCATCAATGCAATAGAAGACTAACGGATCAGTTTTATAACCTACCCTCCATCAACAATCTCATCTAGACACAAAAGAATAAGATCCAAGTTTTCGAGTGCCTCCCTCAGGTCCACATTGTTCCTAAAACAAACAACAGAAAAACATTAGATACGATCACAGACAACAGATTCTAGGAGTCAAAACTAGTGTGAAATTCCAAAAAATTATTGAACCTTAGGAGAAGGGTTACAGCATCAAAAAACCCCTGCAACACAGTTGCTAGGATGATCTCATTTTCATCATCACCACCAGTGACAAAAAAGTGCAGATCTTGGACGAACTTATACACAACGATATTGTTCTCCACCATGGTTATCTCAGCTGCATACCACGGCATTAAAACATTCAACAGTCTCCAATCGATTATTCAGTCAAATATGGAAACCACAGGCTACTGAAAACAAATGAATTCAAGACACGATTCCAAAATGGCATATTATCTATCTCACATCCAAACCACAAACAGATCAAAAGCCTAAATGTACCTTCGGTCCGAGCATTAGTCTTTTGAGTTTTGGTGAAAATGGATTTCTCAAAAGCTAGTTTGGCACTGTTAGTTGGCCAGTCATCCGAATAGTACTTAACTGCAACTCGTTTCCCCTCCGAATCCAGCAAAAGTATGTTCTTCAAAGTTGGGCAAGCCTCCTACATTAACAATGCCCAATCAATTTCCACAAAACAGTCACCATAATTCCTGTTACACATCTAAAATGCACAAACTGTACAGAACCGGAGATTAAATCGGTCCAATGACCAATACTAGGGTTAGGAAAATGGGAAGAGGACCAATGAAAATCGACATGCTCTCTTCTTCAGAAAATCAAAGGCTAATTCTGCGAAAAAATCATTTCTCTTTCACGGATTAAATAAATCCACATTTTTAACCAGGATCCAAGCAGCTATGATCAGATCTCTTTACGATTCGCACAAATCAAACAGCAGATCTTGAAAACTTCTAATAAAGCAATTTTCAGCTCAGAAACATCAAAATAACTCAAACAAACTTTGCAGGCAAATGAAGAAAACGTACACGACTGAGAAATGTTGCCATCGCCAATCTGCAATTAAAGCTTTTCGGGAGGAAGAATTCCGCGACGGTGAAATACGGGAGAAAAAATCTAGCCAGGGAATGTCTCGGTTGCCGATCGGAGCAGCGATTTATTTTTATCATTTTATTTTATTGTATTAGTCTTTTATTCTGGGCCCAAAAGAAAATCTCTAAGCCCAATAAAAGCCCATTATAAAAAAATTGATTTTTTTTAAAAAAAAAATTAATTTTCTATATCATAATCCCAGTGCCCACACTGCATAACTTGTCCAAATGTAGTTGAAATTAATCACCCTTCTTAAAAATATTATAAAAAGAAAGCTTTTTTAGACAAGAACTTCATTCACTCTTCTTCCCAATGCATTCAAGAAAAAAAAAAATGCTACAAAGGAAAAACTAAAAAGGAGCAACATTCCCAAACTACATTACATATATGATACACAATATATATATATATATCAAATGGGTTTTTTTAAGGGGTGAAGAATGTATGGCCACACTTGCATTTCCAGCCCTCAGGCTCATAGTTAGTGTACTGAACTCCAACATGGCTGTTTGTTGTAGGCACTTGAATAGCTTCACATGGCTTGCATCCATAGCACTTGTCCTTACACTTTGGTGGCTTTGATCCAGCTATCTTCTCCAGTACTTTGTATTCTTCCTCATCCATCTCCTTTTACAACAATATGAATCAATGAGGTGCAAGAAAATCCAACACAGTGAGAATGTATTCAATTTGTTGTAATTAGGGTTTTTAAGTACCTTTTTTGAGGTGGGCTTGGAGTGGGAGGTGAACACTGAGTGGGTTCTTGCAAGTTTGCCTGCAACTCCAAGAATTCAAACTTTTTAAAGGGAGGTTATGAAAATGGCTAAAAAATGAGCGGAGAAAACTGACCTTGATTGTTGGCAGAAACCCCATAGTTTGGAGATGCAAAATGCCTGCTTGAAACCCTTAAAACCAACAAACAAAGAATGGACAGAATCATGACAAGAAAACAATAGATTCTTGCCATCATTGGAGGACAACTTCAAATGATAGTTTTTTTTTAGTATTATTATTACTACTATTATTACTAGAGCAGCAGCAGTCACTATTTGTTGTCAAAAAAGAGAGAAACTTCAGGCACTTGAAATAAGGAATGAGTTGAAAAGCTGGAGAATATAAAAAGAATGGGTGGGTGGGGTGGGGTGGGCCATGGGTGAGGTCAGATCCGAAAGTCTTATCCTAATCACATAATTAAATTCTCTTCCCATTTCCCAAAAATAGGCAGAAATGCAGACTGCCTTTGCATACAAGATTCAAGATTGGATTCTAAATTCTGACCACTGGTTTTCCTAGTTTGACAAACTTCCCTTGGCCAAGATTCAAGAACCCTTTTGGCCTTTTTCAGCCTGAATTACTTCAGTCATCACTACAAGCAAAGCCAAGCTAAGATCTATTACACAGTTGAAATTTATTTTATTTTATTTATATTCTGGGAAGCCTAGACTGCAGTGCCTTCTCTATTCCCTTTCAGAAACTATTTTTATTCCATTGGTAGATCAGATGGAAGAAGAAAATAAAATCAATAAATAAAAATTAAATTAGCTTTACAGGGGAAAAATAAAGGCTGCAGAGCAAAACCCTAATCTCAGCCAAACAAATTACACAATGCAATGAAAAATTTGGGGTAATAAGTTAGTTAAACAGAACCCAAAAACAATAGAAAACTTTCATGGATTGGGAGATTACTTCTTCTTCGTTTTAGTTTTTATTTTATCAAGAACTTGTCACCTGTTGAGTTTTAGATTGTTCAATCCATTTTCTGGCAAGGAAATAAGTCAACATTTTTTCCCCCGTAAAAATAAAAATGAAAGAGCAGATAAGTAAAGTTATTGGGAGTCTCAATTCTCCTGTTTGAATTTGTCATTTGTGATTACTTCTCAAATTCAATATATATACATATTATTTACTTAATTATTTTGTAAATTTACAGTTGTGATTGTGTTTTTTTTTTTTTTTGATTGTTTCTTGGTCTTGGGAATCTTCAGTTTGTATATATATATATATATATATCTAAAATTTACTATTTAGATTTTATATTCTCCTAATATATGTATATTTCCAAATCAAACCTAAAGAAACACACATGCTTAATTAAGATGAGTTTATTCATTACACATATTTTGAATACCATTATTTCTTTTAAAATAAGAAATCAATATTATATTAAAAATTATTACTTCATTCGTCCTATTGAAAGGTTACCATTTTCTATTTTTGTCCGTTTTAAAATAAGGTTATCATTTCCTAATTTAGTAATTGTACTACCTACTTCACATAATAAATACCCTTTCAACTTACAATATATTATACAAATATCATTAGTTTTATATTACACCATAATAATAGGGGTATTTTTATTTTTTTTTTTATTACAATTCAATATAATACTAATATTTAAAAATCTCCAGTGACCACCCTTGTTGCAGGTCAAAGGGAGTATTATAGATGAAAGTGTCGAAGGGAGTATTATAGATGAAAGTGTTACTTGTGTGCTAATTTTCTTGCAGTGCAAAAGCAGCAGCAGTTATGATAGAAGAATGAGTGGCCAATAATCAAACAATCCCTTTTTGTCACATATATATATATATATATATATACTACTACAAAATTCATCCTGAAAATCCCAACCTCAATATAATTGGGTATTGAAGCAAAAGCTGATGCCTCAATTCAAATCAATGCCAATTTGCCAATGCCCACCATCTTTTAAACTTTCAAGGAAATACAAAAAAAGAAAAACCCTAAAAAAGTTCAGAAAGGTCAAATTAGGGTTTGGGGATTAGTGAAGGGGGTAGGTAACTGAATCAAATTTGGAATGTGTGTGCATTTTTGACATTAGATTTACCCCAAAAAGGGTCCCTCAATTTGGGGTTTTCATGTAAGAAAATAGCTTGTCTGTACGTCTGTCATGGATCAGGATCTGGATGTGGATTGAGTAGAATAGTCATCATGCAATGCAATAGAAATGAAATGCAGTACAGTTCAGTGGATTTGGATTTTGGGAAGAAGAAGGAAGACACACAGTGATTGGTCTGTGATCCTTGCTGCGTCACTGCTGCCAGATTTGATCACTCACTGGTGATGCTATTGCTTGGCTTCCTGTCATACATGGTACATTTGACTCACTGTTTTTTTCTTTCTTCATGATAATCTAATCTAAATAATACTACTATTACTATCTAATATACTTTCTCCATCCCAAAATTATAGTGTCGGTTGATTTGACACTAAATTTAAAAAATATTTATATTATATTAATAGCGGATAAAAAGTACGGGGTAAGAGACTTTTTTTTTCTTTTGTTCTTGTGAGTATATTAGTATAAAAAGTAATGGCAATTGTGTAATAATAATGAAAAAGTAAAAATAGTTTACACTGATATGGTTATTTATAGAAATGAAACTATTGTTTTGGAACACAAAAATAGTAACTACGAACGGACGGAAGAAGTAATATTTTTTCCTTTTCCAGTCCTAACTTAAAAGTATTTTTTTTTAAATTATGTTTTATTTTTTAAAAAAATAATTATATATTAATATCAAAATATTTTTTATTTTTATTTAAATTAAAAAGATATTCTGGAGAGAGTATTATTATTATTTTTTAAAATTTATATTCCTATCATATTTTATGTTATTTTATTTTTGAAAAAATATACTTTAATTGTATTTTAAATTATAATATACGATTTTCTAAAATTTAATTAGACTAGTTAATTGTCTTAATTTAAAATTATATATTTGTATTATATTGTAACTACTAATTTTTTTTTAATTATTTACTAATTATACGCAAAAGTTATATTGAATATTGTGTTACATTAGTAAATAGGCGAAGGGCCATCCACCTATCACCAAATGATTTCAAATTGGAAGTCCGAATCCCTTCTTAACTAAGTCCAAAAAATAAAATAAAAAAAAAACAAGATAAAAAAAAAATCCTAAATTTCATTATCTATAATCTTGGGTGGCAAATCAAGTTCCACATTAAAATATTTATAAAAAAAAATGATAAAAGAATATTAGAATAAGTATAATAAATAATGACAAATTAGTTATATTATTTGTTTAAATAAAATAGTAAAATTGTAGGAGAATAAAATATTTACTATAAATAAAATTTTTTATACTATATTTTTTAACCCTGTAAAAAATAAACTATTTATTTATTTATTTTTAATATTTATACTACCAATAAAATGTTAGAAAAATCCTAAACATCAAATATATTATAAAATAACATTATCTTTATTTAACTGTATTGCAAAACAATTTTTTTCTCTTATAAGACATTCAAAAAAAAATAAATTTACATTGATATGGAACACATAAAAGGAATAAATTTTTGTAGTAATTTTATTCCAACTTTAAATTTTATTTTTTATACCGCAAATATACATTCAAAAAAATAAATATTTACATTGATAAGGAACACATAAAATGAACAAATTTTTGTAGTAATTTTATTCCAACTTTAAATTTTACTTTTTATACCGCAAATAATATTTTCTTTATGTATTTTATGTTCATATTATTTTATGCATGTTAAATCTAAAAATATAGTATCATTCATATTTTATTGTTAATAAAAATATTTAATTTATTAATTAACAAATATTACAAATAAAACATTTCAGAATAAACAATAAGGGTGTGCTTGTTCGGCGGATTGAATTTTTTTATTGGGATTTAAATTGTAAAAAATTTAAATTTTGAATCGTCTTATGTTGTGATATAAATAAGTTTTAATGTAATATTTTAAATGTAAAATTTATTCTTAATATAATATAAAAATAAAAAATAAATATTAATTTTTTTATTTTTTATTATTTTTTTTTTTATGAATAGTAACAATCTAAAAATTTTTTGATAAAAGAACACACCCAAAATGTATTTGTTAGGGGGTTTTGGAATTGGGCTTGAGGTTTTAAGTAAAAAATTATGAATTAGAAGAGTAATTTTATGTGATATAAAAATATTATGCATAAAATATTCAATGTAAAAAAATAATTTTTGTGTAATATAGAAATATATGTTTACTTTAATATTTTTTGGAATTTTTTTTATAAATAATAAAAACCTTAGTAAAAAATACAACTAACAAACAAACTTAAATTCTACGAAGATAAATATGATACTTTCTCCTCGGTCTCGTAATAAGAATATCATTTGTTTTTTATATATATATTTTAATATTAATATTAATATTATATTGATTTGTAGTAAAAAAAAATAAAAAATATCACTATTAGTATGATATAGTATAAAAATATTATATTAGTTAAGTACTACGATTATTAAATTAGGACGACACCATTATTTTAAAATGGATAGAAATGAAAAATAACATTCAAGTACAATAATTACACTAAAATATAGTTTGGTTAAAGAGCTAGGTTTGTTTTGAAAATTTACATTCTAAGCGTGGCCAATATATTAGTCTGCAAAAATATATATGTATGGTCGATGCCTAGCCTATTTTAGACTCAATATTAAATAATAAAAAAATAAAAATTTGATCAATTATTTATTATTTATATATATATAAGAACAATTAAATTGATTATTATTTTTTTATATTTCAATATTATTAATAATTTTTTTTTTTAAAAAATTATAAATACCTAAAATATAAAATTATATATTAAATTATTTGTATATATATATATATAAATAAACAAGTCAACTTGATATCAATAAAGTTTTTTTTTTTTTTTTTTTTCATTATTAGGATTTTAGAAACACCTAAACTTGCTTGTTTGAATAAAAAAAAATCATTTAAATAAATTTAAAAATCTTTTAAATTAAGGGATGTATTCATTTGGAATTTTATTAAATTTTAAAAAGTAGGATTTATATGGATTTGAAAAATCTACAAAATTGATGGAGAGTTCAATGAATTTCATTTATTAATTAAATGATTTTTTATTAATTTAAATGAATTTTTATAAATTCGATTGAATTGTTTATGAATTTATATGAATTTTATAGTATTGTAGTATAATTTATTATTAATCTATACAATCTGCCTAAATTTATATGAAATATATTTGTAGATAAAAATATTTAA